AAAATATTAGCAAATCAAATCCAGCAATATATAAAAAGGTTAATATATCATGAGCAAAAGGTGTGGTTTACCCCAAAAATGAAAATTGCTTTGAAATTTGAAAATGAATTCGTATAATTCACCACATCAACAGATCAAAAACAAAAACAAAATAAGAAAATCTCAATAGATGCAGAAAAAGGTTTTCACAAAGTCCAACATCAATTCACCATAAAAACTCTCAGCAACTGGGAACAGTGGAGAACCTCCTCGATCCCGTACACCACAGCCACAAACCACCTGCACGTCCACGGTGAAAAACGCAACGCAATCTGCTGAGACCAGGAACACAGGAAAGAGGACCCCTGTCACCGCTTGTCCTTACGGCTGGGCCGAAGGTCCAGCCAGGGCATGGTCATGGGGGACTGGCCAATGGAGAGGGAGAGGAAGAGGAAGAGGGAGGGAGCTATAAAGGGAAGAAGAGGAAGGAAGAGAAAGGAAGAGAAAGGAAGAAAGGAAAGACATACAAACTGGAAAGGAAGGCAAAAAAAAAACAAAAAAAAACTTGTTCTCAGAAGACATAATTACCTCTGTAAAAAACTGCTCAAGAATCTATAAAGTAGGGGCGCCTGGGTGGCTCAGTCAGTTAAGCGTCTGACTCTTGATTTCAGCTCAGGACATGATCTCACTGCACTGTGAGCTTGGAGCCTGCTTGTGAGTCTCTCTCCCCTTCTCGCTCTCAAAACAAATACTCTTTAAAAGCAAAACAACATATATATATATATATATACATAAAGTATATACAGCTGATAAATGAATTTATAGCAAGGTCACAAGATTTACTGATATACCCAAGCCTACTCTATCTATATATTGACAACAAACTGAAAGTTGAAAGGAAAAACTGACGTTAGCATAAAAAAATATGTGTTTCATACATCTAAATTATAGGTGAAAAACGTATATGGCAAAACTACAAAATACTGCTGAGAGAAATTTTTAAAGACCTCAATTACTAGACGTACCTTGTCCATGGATTAGTAGCCTCAATACTGTTAAGATGGCAACTTTCCCAAATTGATCCACAGATTCATTACCATCAGTATTTCAGCAGATGTTTTTGAAGAAAATGACAACCCAATTCTCAAACTGACATGGAAATACAAAGGCCCTAGAATAGCTCAATAACCTTGTTTTAAAAAAGCAGGAGGCACCTGGGTGGCTCAGTGGGTTAGGTGTATGACTCCGGCTCAGGTCATAATTTCATGGTCCATGAGTTCGAGCCCCACGTCGGGCTCTGTGCTGACAGCTCCAAGCATGGAGCCTGCTTCAGATTCTGTGTCTCCCTCTCTCTCTGCCCCTCCCCGGCTTGTGCTTTCTCTCTCTCTCAATCTCCCTCTCTCTCAAAAATAAACATTAAAAATAAATAAAAAATAAAAATAAAAACAAAAAGGACAAAGGTGAAGACTCAAACTACCTGATTTCAACATTTGCTATGAAGTTATACTGAGCAGGCCTGTGTGGTGTTGGTGAAAGTTTAGACACACAGATCAGTCGGACGTAACAGAGTCCAGAAAAGACCATGCTAATATGGCCAAGTGACTTTTTCACATAAGTGCAAAGGTAATTTTTTTTTAATTTTTTATTTATTTTTGAGAGAGAAAAAGAGACAGAGTGCAAGTAGGGGAGGGGCAGAAAGAGGCGGAGACATGGAATCCGAAGCAGGCTCCCGGCTCCGAGCTGTCAGCACAGAGCCTGATGCGGGACTCGAACTCACAAACCACGAGATCACAATCTGAGCCAAAGTCAGATGCTTAACCGACTGAGCCACCCAGGCGCCCCATGTGCAAAAGTAATTTAATGGAGAAAGAAATATTTTCCAAAAATAGTGCTGAAATCAATGAATATCCACATGCAAGAGAGTCTCAAATACAACCCATACACAATACAAAAATTAACTCAACGTAGATCATACACCTAAATGTCACATGTAAAACCACACAACTTGCAGAAAAGAAACTTTGTGACCTCAGATTGGGCAGACTTCCTTTTCTTTTTAAAATCTTTATTTTTTTTTTTTTAAAGTAAGCTTTACTCCCAATGTAGGGCTCAACCTCACAACCCTCTTGAGATCAAAAGTCTCAAGCTCCCCCAAGTGAGCCAGCCGGGCGCCCCAGGATTAGGCACCGCTCCTTGATGTGACAGCAAAACGATGCTCCACAAAAGTAAACCCGCAAGGCCCCCCCGTAGCTGATACTAAAACAACGTGAGCAAAACAATGACAGGAGCGCACTGCAACTCAAACAACAAAAGACACCTCTGAGTCCGTACTCACAGGAAACTCGAAAAAATAAATAAATAATGGAGAAGGGACAGGTCTTCTTTAAAGTTTACTTATTTACTTTGAGGGAAAGAGAGTGAGAGCGTGTGTGAGCAGGGGAGGGGCAGACAGAGAATCCCGACGAGGCTCTGCACTATCAGCAATGAGCCCAACACAAGGCTCAAGCTCATGACCTCATGAGCTGTGAGATTATGACCTGCCTGAGCCCAAGTCGAGAGTCGGCCGCTTCACTGGCTGAGCCGCCCGGGCGCCCCGGGCAGCTCTTCTTTACAGAAAATCCCAGTGAATAAACGTGGAGGAAGGGAGGGAAATAAGGCACCGCCGTCAGAAGAACACAGGAACGCGGCCTCGGCAGCGCCGTCAGCTGAACACCGGACGTCGGCGCAGGTCACCAGCTCGTGGTCTGTGAGTCTGAGCCCCACGACAGGCCCTCTGCTGTCCGCACGGAGCCTGCTTTGGATCCTCTGATCCTCCCTCTCTCTGCCCCTCCCTTGCTGGTTCTCTCTCTCTTTCAAAATAAATAAGCTAACTTAAAACACACACACACGGTAATAACTGTACAGGCAATCCACCAGTGGATGCCAAAATTAGTGGGCAAGTTTGAGGAAAAACAGGACAGATGCATAATTTTAAAGTACCTCCTGCAAGACGTGTACTGATTGCAAAAGGAATAAAGGCAAACAAGAGAACGATGAACTAGGGGCGCCTGGGTGGCTTAGTCGGTTGAGCGTCCGACTTTCGCTCAGGTCATGATCTCGCGGTTCGTGGGTTCGGGCCCCGCGTCGGGCTCTGTGCTGACTGCCAGCTCAGAGCCTGGAGCCTGTTTCAAAGTCTGTGACTCCCTCTCTCTCTGACCCTCCCCTGCTCACGCTGTCTCTCTCTCTCTCTCTCTCTCCTAGAAATAAAATAAAAATAAAAAAGAACAATGAGCTAACGTTTCACCAAGTATAATCTACAGATGGCCCACAAACACACAAGAATATTCCTCAGGGAAATGCAAGTGAAAACCAGGAGAAAATACACCCACCGGAACAGATAAAATCCAAAGTGCGACGGCAGCTGGCACGGAGGTGGATCAGCTGCGAATCTCACGCGCCGCTGGTGGGAGTGTAAAACGGTACGGCCACGCTGGGACAGGGCTCGGCACTTTCTTACAAAGTTAAACATGTACCATAAGCCCCAGCAATGACACTCCCAGTTACTTAATCAAGAAAAATGAAAATTTATGTCTATCAAAGACCCACACCTGAATAGCAGCTTCAGGCAAAACCTGGAAACAACCCAAATGCCCATCAACCGGTGAACAGGTCAACAAATTGCAGCACGTCATCGGGACAAAGGAACAAGCATGAATGACTGTCAAAGGCATCAGACTAGGTGAAAGATACCAGAGGCCCGAGACTCTGTACCTGTGACACCGCATGCACAACAACGCCACAGAAAATGGGAACCTCCTAGGACAGAAGGGAGACCGGCAGGTGAGAGGGGAACGAGAGCTGTCGCAGGGAGAGAAATGTCCCATTTGCTGATGGTGGCAGCAGTTACATAATTTTTTTAATTTTTAAAAAATGTTTATTTATTTTAAGAGAGAGAGCTTGAGCAGGGAAGGGGCAGAGAGAGAGAATCCCACGCAGGCTCCACAGTCAGCGCAGAGACCAACATGCAGCTGGATCACACAACCATGAGATCATGACCCGCATGGAAATCAAGGTCAGACACTTAACCGACTGGGCCACCCAGGCTCCCCTAGAAGTCTTTATTCACTTGTCTGTATGTGTTATAATTCGTAGTAAAAAAATACAATATTTAGAATAAATGAATAAAGACTTCTAGGGGAGTCTGGGTGCCCCAGTCAGTTAAGCATCTGATTTTGGCTCAGGTCATGATCTCATGATTCATGAGCTCGAGCCCTGCATCGGACTCTGTGCTGACAGCTCAGAGCCAGGAGCCTGCCTCGGATTCTGTGTCTGCCTCTTTCTCTGCCCCTCTCCGGTGCATGCGCTCACAGACACACTCTCTCTCGCTCTCTCAAAAATAAACAAACATTTAAAAATATTTTTTTACATACAATATTTCAAAAAAATATAAGGAAGAAAAAAAATATATATAAGGAGGCCTCATCCTATGACCCAGCAAATCCACCCAAGGAGAATCCAGGGCAGACGTTCACCCAAAGATCCACAGCTGGAATGTTCATGGCAGCACCATTCAGAGTATCCTGCAACCAGAAACGATCCTAATGCTCAGTAACAGCTGACTGGATAAAGAAAGCCTAGAACGCTCGAACAAGATACTACACAGCAATGAAAACAAACAATCCATAAGTACACGCAGCAACGGGAGCCAACTGCTAACACGAGAACACAGGTGGAAAACAGCAGTCACAAGACACATACACACGACTCCACTCATAAAGTACAAAACAGGTGAACCAGCTGCTGCCGGAAGTCAGAGCGGTGGTCCCGCAGGGGTGGGGTGCTGGTATAACTGAAAGGGAGGACCCTGGGTACAGGTCTGTTCTTGAGCCAGTTCCTGCCTGCATGGGAGTTTTCAATCTCTGAAATTCAGTGAACTCGGATATCCTAAGATATGTGCAGTTTTCTGCATATTGTGCTTCATATGATGCTTCAATAGAGAGGAGGATTTTTTTAGTTAAAAAGAAGAGAAACACAAAGCCTACCCATCGGGATGAAGAGCCCGCCATCCTCTGTCTCATCCTCAGCTTGCGGAGCTAGAGTCCCAAGCGGCTTCTCTTGAGGGCAGGCACAGACATGTGATGGAGGGGACTTCGCAGGCAGGGCTCCCGGTTTTGCAGGGTGGGCGCCGAGCGGCAGCGAAGGCATCTCCCCTCCAGAGTGCAACTGAGGTTTTCCTGGAAGAATCACAAGCGTTGCTCCACACTTTGCCCAATCTCAATCATACCAGGTTGCAGAAATCAGCATTTTGTTATAAAGTCCTCTTCCGCTGGCTAATGTCATTAATGATGCACGTACCACATAGGTTTCCTCTCTCTTAAAGACAGTATCCTGAGAAATCAAAGCTCAGATCCAATTTACTCATCTAATGTCAGGGAGATGAACCCGATAACTGTTAACGTCTTTCTTCTTCTAATAAGCTTTAAGCCATGCATTTTTCCCCCCTATGGAGAAATCAGAACCATAATTGTGAGGTGGGGGGTGTTATAATTCTGATGACAAAGGGACATTTTATATGGACGATCATTAACACCACGTTTAATCCCTATAAATGATATCCATTACAAAATGTCCTGAACTTTCTGACTGTAAATTTTACAGAGCAGTAGAGTAAGAACCATCAAATTATAAATACACGGTTGGTTCTACGGTGCACTAGACAACTTTCTCTTCTCACCTCGGCTCTCCAGGAGTGCTAGCTTGCTTTCTTCTGGGGAAGATGGGGCGTGTAAGAAGCAAAGCACCCATGTTGTATCAAAATAAACATGAGAGCCAAGTTGCCGTGTGTTGGAACACACGCAGGCTTGGGTGCAGGGTATCTGCAGACCGTACGCAGGACTGCTGAAGAGTGACTGCCTGCTTCTAAGACAAAAACCTGGGCTCAAGAGGACAGAGGGAAAGGGTGCCTATCTCCTCACTATGCATTCTCTGTATTTATGAATTTTTTTCTGGTTTGTGTATGACACAGTCAGAAACTTTTTTCAGGGTGCCTGGGGGGCTCCGTCGGTTAAGTATCCGACTTCGACTCAGGTCACGATCTCAGTTTGTGAGCTCAAGCCCCGGGCTGGGCTCTGTAATGACAGCTCAGAGCCTGCTTTGGATCCTCTGTCCCTCTCTCTCTGCCCCTCCCTAGCTCGCGCGCTCTTTCTCTCTCAAAATTAAATGAACAGTTTTAAGAAATCCATTAAGAAGGTAGATATCATTAAAAAAAATTTTTTTTCAAAGACAGATCAGGTTGTTTGCCACTGAGCTCCACCCAAGGTAGCCTCTATACTCTAGGCTACTACCCCATCAACATGGCCACTTTCAACTGGTGTACACAGGATTTTAAACTGGACCACCCTCCCCACTCCAACAAAGAAAAAAAAGCTTAAATTTTATATTAAGCATGAATCAATCTGTGACTGCGTTTACTCTTCAATCTTCCGCCCTCCACTTCTGGAGCCCATGATTAGTCGACATGTCAAAACATCTAGGGCTTTTGCTGTAACACGGATTGGACAAGAAGTCATGTCCTAAGTCCATTAAATCACAAGTTCCTCTCAGTCAAATATCTTAGAAAAGAGAACTCCACTCAAGAGTACAGCATAGCACTCTAATTTTTCTTTTTAATGTGTATTTTTGAGAGAGAGCGAGCATGTGTGGGGAGGGGCAGAGAGAGAGAGACAGACAAACAGAATCCAAAGCGCGCTCCAGGCAGGCTCTGAGCTGTCAGCACAGAGCCCGCTGTGGGGCTCAAACTCACGGACCATGAGATCATGACTTGAGCTGAAGTCAGCTGTTTAACCAACTGAGCGACCCAAGCACCCCAACACAGTGTTCTTATTTGATCAACAATCTTCAACAATTTTTAGAATTAATGCCAACATTTTCAAAACTCATCCAACATATAAGACGTTTTAAACAAACAGAAGCTCACTTTGGCAGCTAGTTTCTGTTGATAGTTTGACTGCCGAGAACACACCTGGAACTGCTCTCACACGGTCCCTATGGTTTATCGGCTACACCAGTCTCTACACAGAGAAATTGTTCCTTTACTTTTTCTCTTTTATTTTTTTAGTTTTAGTTATTTATGTAATCCCTACACCCAACAAAGGACTCAAACCCACAACCCCAAGGTCAAGAGTCACACACTCTTCCAACTGAGGCAGCCAGACACCCTGAAAATGTTCCTTTTCTACTACCCAATTATGTTGCTTCTCAACTTAACTCTCCTCTCAGAACCCCGCAGGACCCCCACTTTCCCTTTCCTCCGTCCCCGGGCTAGAGGCCGAAAGCACCTTGAAACGGAAGCCAAGTGGGTAAGAGAGACGGAGAAGGGAAAGCCTCACACAGAGCACATCGGTAACGTGTTTACAGCCAGCCTAAGAACTGTGAATCAATAACATGAAAATAATTCGCTGAGAAGCACACAACTCATTATAAGCCGAAATCTGCCGAAGTTAATCATTTTTAGAAAACAAGAAAAACCATGAATAGAAATTAGGTTACATAAATCAATTTTGAAAGAACAATTAAAATTCTGGGGGGAAAAAAAAGAGGCCAGGGTGGGGGGGAATCCGTTAGCACAGGCAGCAGTGCAGAGAGGGCTCAGTCATGAGCACCTGCAGCCCAGTAACAACTTAGCAGGTGCACCGACTGTAACAACTCCTGTAACAACTGGCTGGTCCAGGAGCCTGGGACACGTGTTCTGAAAGCCCCCAGGGTTGCCGCCCCTCCCCCACCCCGCAGTACTGAACCTCAGATTCTATGTTTTCCCCATACATACCTATGGTAGTTTAGTCTACAAATCAGGCAGGGCGATTACCAGTAACTAATAATAGAACAATTAGAACAACATCCCTAGAAAGTTACGTGGTGAATGTGCTCTCCCCTCTCACAACATCTCCCTGGCCTGTACTCACTGTCTAGTGACGACGTGCAGTGGTGAAATGCCTACATGAGGAGAGGATGTGAGGGGAGTGCCTCGGCCTGGTGACGCAGCCTTAGGCCACCACTGACCTTCTGACGACAGTACGTCAACAGGGTCATCTCCCTCCAGACCCCGGCTGATTGCGGATAACTGAAACTACGGATAAAGAAGAACTACTACACTTCAACCCAGATTTTTTTGTTTTTGTTTCATTTTTATGTAATCCCTCCACCCAACGTGGGGCTTGAACTCACAACCCCAAGATCAGGAGTCACAGGCTCTACTGACTGAGTCAGCCAGACGCCTCTGCACTGAATTTTAGCAGTAATTACTCTGGGTAGGTAAGATTGTGGGTGATTTTTATTTTCTACTTTAAATTTTTCAGTATTTTTTAAAATGCATATATATGAGTTTTTAATCTGTTTTGTACATTGTATTTCCTTTTTGAGTTTTTTTAAGTTTATTTAGAAAGAGACCTCATGCACACGAGAAGAGAGAGAGAGAGCGCGCATGGGGGAGGAGTAAAGAGAGAGAAGAGAGAATCCCAAGCAGGCTCTGCACTGTCAACACAGAGCTGAGCACAAAGGACTCTCACAAAGCATGAGGTCACTGCCTGAGTCAAAATCAAGAGTCAGACGCTTAGTCAACTGAGCCACCCAGGCACCCCTTGTATGTTACATTTGTATTTAGCAAAAAATTAAAAAAAAAAAATTACCTGGGGGGAGAAAAAGGACCCTGGATAGACACTCATGAGGTCCTTTTGTTTCCGAGTGTTGCTCATACACACAGCTCAGTAAAGTGAGAGGTGGTAGAATCCACTTTTAACTCATGAGGAGGAGTGGATTACAGATACTCCCAAACAATGAACGTTTACTCCATTCTTCTGCACCTGGACGTCTGCAAACTAACCCCTGGAAACATCTGCGGATCCCACTCCCCAACAGCGGACGACTCTGAAGCCCTGACTCCCGTACCCTCTCCAGGTCCCCTGCCTTCACGTCACCAACACACCCAAGCCTTGAAGGAGACATCTCGGTGGCCCTGCTGCCCCCGGGGCCGCGTCCGCCCTCCCGCTGCAGAGCAGACACCGCCACCCCCTCCCCCCTCCCCAGACCTCCTCGGTCCGAAACTGCCCTGCGCCCTCTCTCGGACAAGCCTCCTTCCCTGGACTTGGCCTCTCTCTTCTCCAGTTGTCCCTCTCGGCCACCTTCTTCCCCAGCCTCAGGCCGTCCACTCCCTCCACGTGCCTTTCCACCAAGAAGCACAACTCACACTTTGAACACTTCTACTCCCCCATCTCACCAAACTCCCATCTCAGATTGTTTCTTAGCTGGACGGGCCACGTCCCCTTGGGCAGCACACACTGAAGGGCGAACTCCTCTCCAAGCGCCCCAAAGCCTGCGCCTGGAAGACGTGCGTCCCCGCCCCGAGGGCAGCGAGCTGAAATGATGCCAGTCTCTGAGCAAGACTAATCCTTCCTTCTGATGTCTCTAGGGTACGCCCTTTCTTCTGGCCTCACCGGCACATCCCAGATCGACCCTCTGTAAGGTCTCATGGGGCGGCCAGCAAGGCTCTGTGTCGTCCGCACCCACACTGCCCCTGGGCTGCTACACACCCGCACAAACAGCACCTGTGCAGGACTGCGGAACCTCTGGGGAACCGCGGAACCCCCGGGAGACTGCAGAACCCCTGAGGGACCGCGGAACCCCCGGGGGACTACAGAACCCCTGAGGGGCTGCGGATTCTCTGGGGGACTGCGGAATGTGCCACTCCATCTCCGCTCCTTCCCCACTCTATGGAACCCCACCAACCCAGCCAGTCCCAATTTCAAAACTCCAAATGACCCGTACCACACACCCCAGCGTCCACACAGTGCCCTCAATTGCTCCAAATGAATCATGTGTTTATGTCTTGTCTTCCCAGCTACCCTGGAAATAAGCTTCCTGAGGACAGAACTATGCCTTCGGCTCCTCTTACTTAGGAACCTAAGGAGAAGGTCCAATGCCTGAGCATGAAAAACAAAGCCCTTCACAGTCTACACACAATCTACCACCCAGAAAACTTCTCTCACTTCATCCAAGCAACCACGCCACCATCCTCTTCTGCCTGGGCGCCTACTGCTCTTGGCCTAAGATACCCCCTGCCACCATCTGTTAAACTGCAACGCCGTCCCTCAAGGTTTCTGTCATCTCTTCAGAGCCCCGCCCAGTGTCCCAGGCAGTAGTGTCTCCTTTCGAGCCGCGGCCTCTCCTCCACAAGCCCCACTGCACGGACACCCACCAAATCACAAAAGGCCACACATGGTTCACCCCTCCGAACATGGAAGAAGAGAAAGTTCAGGAAAGGACACAAGAGGGGCTAGGGGAGGGAGGGAGGAAGTCTCCACCCACTCCTAAGGTTCACTGCCGACCCCCAGGGGCTCCCCAGTCCCGATCCCATCCTGGGTCAGTATCCCCTTTCAGAAACAGGCTTTGTAGAGGGACTGCAGGGAGGACAGTGGCCGAGTAGCACCGACAAGGGAAACGCCGCCGAAGACCTTTCATATCTTACCTCCTTCCTCCTTGACTTCTTCACTAGGCTCTCCGGGAAAAGGCTCCTTTGTAACAGGATGATCAGCTCTGTCTTCCTGGGGACCTGGCCCAGGCCTCAGTGCGATCTTCTTCCCTCTCCTTGAGCCAGGGGCCGGGACCTTTCCTTTTCCAGTGTGTACAGTAAGGGGCTGGGAAGACTCCGAGGAAGGCAGGGCGGTTCCCTGAGAGGCGGCCGCGTCAACAGCTCCCAGAACTGGCGCGTGTGCGCCCTGAGTGAGCACCCTGGAGCTCGAGGGTGGCTCCGCCTCACCAAGCTGATCCCCGGCTTCCTGGGCGGACTGCACCTGGAGGCCGGCCGCTCGGCCATGACTTGGTCCCCCAGAGAGCGGCGCTGACCCCAAGTCTTTCACCTGCTCAGACACTGGTCTAACAGCGGACTCCAGGTCTAGGTCCTCTTCCTCCTGGCTGCCCTGGTGCTGTGGCGACTCGGTCACCGTAGTCCTTCTCTTCTTACAGGGCAACATTGTACACATCCCACCCGTGTCCCATCCTGAAAGGAGAAAAGCAAGTTCCTATCGCTTTCGTACTGATTAATGATAACAGCATTTCTTCAAGTACCTTTCCACCTATTCATGTTCGGTCAGGGACACAGTACTTTATACCAAATGTATTAGATGGGAGAGGAGCGACCGCGGTCGGAGGGCCGGGTTCAAATCCCACCTCCATCACAGATGAGCATGTTATCTTGGCCGAGCTACTTATCCTCTCTATCCTTCAGTTTCCTCAACTGTGAAAGAGAATACCTGTCCTTACCTCACAGGGTTGCTCTAAGAATTAAACAGGAAGTGAACAGTAAACGTCAGCGATCATTACTATCAGGGAGGTAGAACAGCATGATGCCAAGAGCAAAGTGTGCAGTCAAACTGTCTGCGTTTGTTTCCCAAGTCAGCCTCTCTCCAACTTCCTGTAACTGCCTAACTTACTTAACCTGAATCTCGAGTTTCTCCAGCTATAAAGTGAAATAAAAATAGGGGCACCTGGTGGCTCAGTCGATTAAGCATCCGACTTCAGCTCAGGTCATGATCTCACAGTCTGTGGGTTCGAGCCCCGCATCGGGCTCTGTGCTGACAGCCAGCTCAGAGCCTGGTGCCTGTCTTCGGATTCTGTGTCTCCCTCTCTCTGCCCCTCCTCCCCTGCTCATATTGTCTCTCTCTCAGAAGTTTAAAAATAAATAAATAAATAAATGAGTGTATACAAAGTGAAATAAAAATAGCATCTACATCATTAAATATTAATTTATTACATCAAAAATGTTTGCTATTGCTGTTTTCACAAACAGGTAGTTCCATCGACAGAAACCATCCAAAAGCAAGGTGTGGGTTTTTTTAAAAAAGTTAGGCTATATTAACAGAACTTCTGTCTTGAAAACAAGAGAGTCCTACTATTCTCTATGTTGTTACTTTTCAACTCTTGGCCTCAACTCCAGTTTTCACATCCCAAGGGCAACAGTAACTTAAACTGGAGAGTATCTTCTTTTAGGTTCTTACAGCACCTGTTTGTAAATCGCTTTTACAGTATCTATCGCTTTTGTTATTCTCGTCTGTCTCCTTCCCCTCTCTCCTTCCCTCAAAACTACGTGCTCTTTGAGGAAAAGAATTCTTTCACCTAGTACCCCTAGTACTTGGCAGGGTGCACCTACTGGATACTCAATGAATGCTCCCTGAAGACACGAAGAAATGAAAGAAAGAGGGCATGAACTTCCAAACCTCCCATCCCAAGCTTATTCTATGCAGCATTTGGACCATGAGTTAAGCACCGTATGGAAAATGACTGCATCTTTCTACCGAGAAAAACTCTACTTTCAATAAAATAGGTCCAAGAACAAAATCGGTTGGTTGCCTGGTGTTCCTCGGGCAGTGCTCAAGCCAAGTCTGAAGGCCCATCCATCAGGGCACTACACTGAAAGCCTGGACCAAAGGACTAAGAAAGTTCTCTTTCCGAGTCTGAACTGTAAGGTTATTTTAAACCGCCCTAATCCGGGGGCGCCGGGTTGGCCCAGCCAGTGAAGAGCGGGACTCTTGATGTCGAGGTTGTGAGTTGGGATTACTTAAAATAAGTAAAATAAAAACTTTTAAAAAAATAAACAAAATAAACTTCCCTAACTCAGTTTCTCCCGGCACCAGGAGAGAACCCCATCCCCACCCCCAAGTCGGCTGATGTCCTTTTCTTAGTTATTAAAGCCTCTGTGGACCCCCGTGTGGGAGGTGGGGAGTCGCTAAGAGGCGGAGCGGGCGCAGCCTGCAAGAGCCCGTTTCAGAGATGACAGGCTCAGAAAAGAAAAACAAGGACGGAAGGAAGGCAGCTTCTCGTCCAAGTCAGCAGCGCGCAGAGACGGGCTCCAGGCACTTCGAACGCAGCAGCCCTAAAAAGGGCCCCGCTTTGGGAACTGGAGCCACCCTAACAGGGTCGATGGACGCGACTCCCGGGGCAGCGCCAGCGCGGGCCGCTCGGGGGAAGAGACATCACCAGGGGTCCGGGGTGCGCTTCCCACCGCGGCGCCGAGCGCCGGCCGCGGCCCCCACGCCCAGCCGGGCACCTTCGCGCCCCACCTTCGGTCTCGCACCCCACGCCGGCCCTCAGGCCCGACCCCTCGGCCCGGACGTCCCACCTGCCTCTTCCCGCCCCACCGCACGCGCCCCGCCGCCCTCACCAGCCGGCCAGATCCCGCGGAAACCCAACTCCGCTCCCGCCGGAAGTCAGCCAACGGCAGCCACTGACGTGCGCGCCCCCGAGCCGCGGTGCGCGGCGCCAGGGCGCCAAGGAGCATGCGCCAACCTGCAGGCGCCATGCTAGGTGCGGGCGGACGGAAGCCGGCGCGTCAGCTGTCGGCGAGAGAGGTTACAGGAATGCCTGCCTCTGAGCTGTCCCACTCAAAACAAAACCGGGGATTGCAATTCAGTGGCTTAGGCTGACATCTGTCTAATCCTTCTCGCCGCGAGATACCTGGAATCGGGACCGAGGAAATGGCGAACTCATAAAATTGCAGAAAGAGGACTCCCTGGCTTACAAATAGTGCGGTTTCCCGAATAAAGCGAAGGCAGTCTGGGACTCAATCCACAGCGATTTATTCATGTTTGTATCATGCTCTTCATCTCACAAAATGCTTTCACTTACGTTGTCATAGGTGATTTGATTGTCACAAACCCGATGGGACAATGGATATTCTACCTCCCAATTTACACAGAACAGAAATTTCTGGCTCAGCTGGGAAGGTGGTTTCACAAAGACACAGATATCAAGGGGAATCGGGCATCCAAACTCTAGCTTTTAATGCCATGATCCAGTGCCCGGGAAGGTGCCTGCGGCAGAGTCGGTGTTCGTTAATTCAATACAAGGGTTTTGAATGATTCCTAGACCCATGTTCTTTCCACTTTTCTAGAAGGACAGGATGTGGAAACTGTTAAAACCCATTCAACTGTCTCAATTTACAGGTGAAGCATCAACAAATATTTATGCATTTAAATAATTTGCCTTGATCCTGTCTGTAAACAAGATGAAAGCATCCACAGCCAAAAGGAGCGAAATTTAGGTAATCATGGAGATTAATGCCAGTAGTCTATAACCTGAATCACTCTACCTCTCCCAAATGCCAAGGAAGTCTCCAGAAGCTTGGAGTGTCGTCTGTGTCCTGTTTTTCAACCTGCAGAACACATAAATCTGGTTTGCTGCTCGCTATGCCCTTCTCCCCCGCTCCAGCCCCCCCCCCATCAGCCCTAAGCACTTGAAGCTGTTGGAAGAGAAATACCCAACGCCTTTGACATACAAGCCTTAAAAACAACAAAAAACGCTTTAATTTACACTCCACAAAATCCATCCATAGATGGATTGTAGAATTTTGCTTCTACGATTATTCCCAGTAACTTTTCAGTTATGCAACCAGCACTTGGTTTCGTGTTTAATCAGAGCTTCCGAAGTTTAAGAAAGCTCCCATAATAACCTTTAGCGGTCTCCGATATTTATAACAATAATGGCAAACGATACTGAAATACAGGCAGGACAGAATTCTCTTTTTCCAAAATTCCGGAGTCCCTGTCATCCAGAACATTCTGCCGCGATATTAAGCGCCGGGAACCGGAATCACGGGATCTATAGGACCTCAGATGAAAATGTACCTGCGCTTCTAGTTCGGGCCGCGGGGCTTCTCGCCTGAGGGACCCACAGCCCGCGGGTGGGCGGGGTCTCACTCCCAAGAAATCCCGGCGACGGCGGGGGGGGGGATCCCCTAGCGGAGAGCTTCCGGAAAGGGGCCGGGCCGGGCTTCCGGAACTTTTCGGACGGAGGCGGAGTCTTCTGCCGAGGGCCGTTCGGAAGAAGGCGGGGCCTACTCGCATCAGGACCAGTCGGGCTGCACCTGCATCCTTCGCTCAGAGCATCCCTGGAGCATCTTGGGAGGCGCCCGCAGCTGGCAGCCCCGGGCCCGGCCGGCGCGGAAGGTGTCCGCCAGCCCCCCCCCCCCGGGCCAGCGCTCTACCGCGGCGGCCTCGCTGCTGGCCGGGCGTCCCCACACCGGGCTGACCACCGAAGAAGCATTTACAGCAATAGCCTCTGATTACGACATGGCTGAGATCACCAATATCCGACCCAGCTTCGGTAAGGAGAGCCGGGGATCCCAAGCCTGGGCCAGTGGCAACCCCGCGAAGCCCGCGGAGCGAGCGGGGGAGCGTCACCCCGCCGGGATGCGGCCTGCGGCGGCGGGCGGCGCCTCAACTTGCGCTGCGGGCTGCAGAGCTGGCCGGGCCCGGGCCCGCCGGGGGTCGTGGGTCCCCAGGGCCGCCGAAACCTGCGGGGGCCGCGTCCGCGCGCTGGAGGAGGGGGAGGGGGAGCGCAAGGGAGCCGGGCGCGGACCCCTCCCCCTCGGGGCGCGCAGGGCGGTGCCCCCTGCTCCCCCTCCCACTGCTCCTCGGGCTGCGGGGGAGGGCGGCGGCGGGGGATGGGCGCCAAGATGGCAGCTGGGGGGGCTGAGGGGTTAAGGGACCGCAGGGCCCGGGGGCTGGTCTCGGGGGAGCCGGGGCCGCGGGCGAGCGCGCGGGGAGCCGCTGCCAGGCCGGCGGGGCGCGGGGCGCGGGGCTGGCGGCCGCCGAGGGCCCTCGAGCGCGGTTCTGCACCGTAATGGTGGGTCCGTCCGCTGCTACCAAATGGCGCTTGGCGCTGCCGAGCCGGGGATGACGTGATGTCTATTCTGGGCCTCCTGGCAGCGCCCAGGCCCCTCTTCCCGGGCCTTTGTTCCCTGTTTCCCTGGCTGGCTTTTCCGAGAGGGGGACTCACCGCGCTGGCGGGGGCGCGGGCCTGGCCGGGGCGGGGGGAGGGGGAGGGGCGGGAGAGGCCGGGCCCGGGGGAGGCAGCTTTGTGTACCCGGGAAGGCATTACGTCACCCCGGAGCGGCTGGCCCCCGACCCGGGCCTCTGGGCTCTCGGCTGGGCTGCCCGCCCCGGGGCAGAGAGTGGAGTGGAAAATAGGGAGGAAGACGGGAAAGAAAAGCTGGACGCGCAAGTGTTTTCCTCTTTGGGGCTTCCTCCAAAATGGGCCCTGGGTGCGAACTTCCTGGGCCATGCTTTCCTCGTCCAAAAATAAAAGAGTTGCCCTGCCTCTCCCTCACGTCTACCCCAGCTTGGATGAGAGTTGCTTGGCCGAGGGTTCCTTCACGTCCCCTAAGAGAGCCTGTCCCTCAGCCAACCCAGAAGGTGTGAGCATCCAGACTACAGTTTTTAGGGTGGGGCCATAATCCAAGTGGGAAATGGCTTTTCTCACTCCCTAGTAAGAGGTTCATGGAAACAACACTCAGTGAGCTCTCCCACCTCAATATCAGAAAGAAGACCTCAGAGCGGAGGAAGTATCCAGAAAACATCACGCCCATTAGCTACTGGTTCCCACTGATTCCCAAAGGCTCAATCTTAGCTGTGTTTCTTTCTACACTTCCCCGTCTGCGTCTCAGTCTTTGAGTTCTGAGTGTTCAAAATAGGTTTCCCTTTTGTGATCGCGTGAGCCCGCCATGGTTTTCTTCCTGCTCTCTTTCTCCCGCCTTCTTTCCAACATATTGTTTTCTCTAATTGCAGTTCCAAACTCCTTGAAAAGTTAGAAGGTATGAAGCATAATATAGTGGTTTCCTTTAGGAGGAATATTAGTGGAAAAGAGAAAAATTTTTCAAAGAGGGTGCGCCTGCGTGGCTCAGCCAGTTAAGCGTATGGCTCTTGATTTCCGCTCAGATCATGATCCCAGGGTCGTGGGATCGAGCCCCGTGTTGGGCTCAGCACTGAACATGGAGCCTGTTTAAAACTCGCTTTCTCTCCCTCTGTCCCCGTCTCCCCTCTCTAAAATTAAGAAAGGGGAGAGTGAGAAAAGAAATCATTTCAGCCTTTGACATACTCCATTTTATCTCTTCCTTACCGTACTCTCCAGTGTTGGCATTATTATATGTACTTGACAGATGAGGAAACTGAGGTTCAGTGAGATAAAGTGACTTGGGATAAAGTCAAACAAACAAGCAAAGGTAGTGCTAGGATTCAAACCATCCAGTGGATGCCAAAGTCCATTGTCGTTTCACTGTGTCACCCGGGCCCACTCGACAGGGCAAGGCTGGTTTAGCAAAGGAAACATCAACAGCAGATCTGGTCAAAGGCTGAGAGAGCGGGACACAGCCCGGACGTGGCTCACAGGTCTTTAGGCGTGTACAGAGGGTCCTGCATAGAGAGCTGCCACTTCTGACTTGCTCGAATCTCATAGAGAACTTCACTTCAGATGCGGAGCCCTTGGGAGTTACACCAAGCCAACAGTCAATTACCCGTGACCTTGGAGGACAAAAGGAGCAAACAGCACAGTCACTGCAATTTGTGACTACTTTAAAAGGCTTCCTTCAGCCATTAGTTCCAACTTCCTTTTCCCACCAAGCTTTTGACTAAAGCAACACAAAGGGTTCTGAGTTGCAGCATCTCTGATTTTTTCTAGTTCACTGCCTTGGGTGGGGGAGAGAGGCAGGGTTTAAGAGATACTAAAATGAAGAAGAAAATGGGGCAAGAGTAGGAAACCAGGTTGAGGAGAGCAGCCAGGTAATGCACGGGCGGCGTCATCCGTTTGTCTTCTGTTCCTTCTCTATCCTCCTGAAAACGGGAATCCTACCCCTTCTCTTTACACGTCTCACCTCCATTTTCTAACCACAAATGTGGAGGCATTAGCAGTAGTGGGTTTCCGCGAGATCAGAGTAGATCTACAGTAGAGCCAGAAGGATTACTCCAGTGTCTCCCAGCCTAGGCTTTATGCTGGTCATTCATATCATTCTCAAAAATGTACCTGGCTTGTGGGTTCCCTGCTTCCTCTTCTCAGGGAGGCAACCAGTGTTCACTGTCCTTAATCAGTAGCAAGCAGTCTCCAGGAACATCCCTGATTGGTGGTGAATGGAGAGCCCCTTTTTCATATTTGTGCCCGTTTTGATTGACAGTTGAATCCGGTCAGTTGGCCAAACAAGTATTTACTGAGCACCTATTAAATGCAAAGCCTCAGGGACTCACAGATGGACAGGATGTTATTTCTACCTGCTTACAAGGAGCTAAGGAGCTTACCGCCAAGGCTGCTCCCGTTTTATGGAAACCTGTCCCTAACAACCCTTGTTTCATTTAATATCTGGCAATAAACACTACTATTGTTTAGTGAAGACATGGTCACCTTGATTTACTTTGTTAATGGCTTCCCCCCTTAGTATTATTTAAAAATGTAACCTCTTCTTTTTTTTGCCTGATCCCAACTTTCATAGAATCATGGGATGTTGGAGAAAGAACTTCAGGGACATTTGGTCCGATCCCTACTGAAGAAATCTCTTTTAGAATATGCCTGACCAATAGTTATCCAACGTCCAAAAGTTTTCAGTTGGGGATTCCCTGCTTTGTGAAGCAATCTGGACCATTGTGAGGCAGAACTGTTAATAATTTGACCCTTCACTGAGTCAAAATCTGTCTCCCTGTAGCCTGTATGCTCTGATACTAGACAGACTTTGTAAAGTCAAATCAGACCTTTTCCAACAAAATGCCTTAAATAATTGGAGAAAGTTATTATTCCCAGACCTCCAATCTCTTCAACTTTTCCTCATTTGATATGGTTTCCGGGGCTTCTACTATCTTGCTTGTCCGTAATGAAGATGTACTCCCATGTCGGGCAGACCGGGGCTTGGACCCCATCACCGCCATTTGCTACCACGTGGCCTATGGCAGATTTGGGTCCCCAGGTTCCTCAGTTATAAAGTGAGGATGTTAGGGGTACCTCTCTTCAGTGAGTTCCTTGATTCAGAGAGAGCCCTAGAGCAATGCCGGGCAGGGACACGATAAATGTACACAGGAAAATGGCGGGTCTTATTCTTGTCATTGCTAGATAGAACACTCCATATACGTTATGACCAGTGCAGATTAAATTATGCCTCCTCCCCAGCCTGTCATCAGGATGTCATACTCATGGTATAAGTTGGCATTAGCCTAAAATACTTCGTAATAAACTAGATTATTTCTGCTCAGACTTGTCAAGTAAGGCCTCCCATTGTGTATCAATAGATTTTTGAAGGCCAATATAGAATTTTACATTTGTCCCCCATATATCTAATCATACAGGCTCATTCTCTTTTTTCCAGTCTGCAGAGGCTGTTTTGAATTCACTAATTCATTTGCTCGATGACTACTTATGATGTGCTGCGTGGTTCTAGGGACCTGAGGGTACAGCAGTGAACACAACAGTCACTGTTAGGAATCTTAGCTAGTAGGGAGGACAGATGAATACCTGTCAGGAGTAGTCGGTGCTATGAAGAAAAACAAAGCAGAGCGACGGGCATATCACCTCACCTGGGGCAGCCAGGAAGTACTGCTCTCGTAAGATAAGGTTTGAGCAGAGGCCTGCAGTCAGTGAGGCAGGGAGCTGGGCAGATACCTGTGGAAGGAGGTTTTGGGATGGGGCGCCTGGGTGGCTTAGTCGGTTAAGCGTCCGACTTTCGCTTAGGCCATGATCTCACGGTTCGTGGGTTCGGGCCCCGCGTCGGGCTCTGTGCTGACTGCCAGCTCAGAGCCTGGAGCTTGTTTCAGTCTGTGTCTCCCTCTCTCTCTGACCCTCCCCTGTTCAGCTGTCTCTCTCTCTCTCTCTCCTAGAAATAAATAAAAAAAAAAAAAAATTAAAAAAAAAAAAAAAGGAGGTTTTGGGAAGAATCTGGAATATGTTGAAGTCACATTTATTTCCTCAGTCCTGTCTGCCCTACCCAAGGCTTCCCTTAAAAAGTAATGTGGACAACTAGAGGCCTTATCGAGACCTTTAAGGCCTAAATCCAATTTGGCTTCAGTGAACTTAAAAGGGAAAAGAACCCCCAAACCTGTCAGGGTCCCAGCGTGCGTGGGGGAAGGACAAGAGGAGAGGAAGGGAAGGAAACAGCCTGTTCTGTTTAGTTAGCTGTTCGTTCAACAAATAGGCACCAAGTACATATGTGCGTTCTCAGTGCTGAGGATACGGAAATGAACCCAACAGACAAAAGTCCTGTCCTCACGAAGCTTATTCTCTAGTGAAGGTGTATTTATTGTGGTAAAACTATACACGTGTGTGCGTGTCCCCATATATATTAGGGGGTGCACACATGTGTGTGTTTCACCGTGTGTAAGACAGATAAGACCTATGGAGATGACGCAGGGTTAGGACCCGGGGGTCTAGTGGGAAGTGGTTGAGCTTTTAAGGAGGGTGATCCGGGAAGGCCTTGATGAGAAGGTGATATTTCAGCCAAGAGCTGACATTTTCCACATTTCTTCTTATTTAATCTACAAGTATTGGGAACTGGGAGCTGAAATTCGGAATATGTTTTTAAAATACTCAGATCCAGGGGCGCCTGGGTGGCTTAGTCGGTTAAGCGTCCGACTTTCGCTTAGGTCATGATCTCGCGGTTCGTGGGTTCGAGCCCCGCGTCCGGCTCTGTGCTGACTGCCAGCTCGGAGCCTGGAGCCTGTTTCAGTCTGTGATTCCATCTCTCTCTGACCCTCCCCTGCTCACGCTGTCTCTCTCTCTCTCCTAGAAATAAATAAAAATTTAAGAAAATAAATAAATAAATAAAATAAAATACTCAGATCCAGACTTTTTACCGCCCACTCACTTTCACCACCGTTGAGCATACTCCCCAAACCACGCAGGGTCGGCCCTGCCTTCTCCTACCCCAGCTGCCAGTCGGCCCGCACAGGCCAGCTGCAAACCCTGTGCTGGATGCCGTGGAATATTCTCCCAAAGCCAGACACAGCCCATGCGCTTGAGTGTTGTGTCACAGTCGAGGTCAAGGTGACTTTATAAGGCCACAGGGCAGCTTTGTGTGGGAACCACCCAAGTCCTTAAGTGTTGCCAGGTGGCCAGGGAAAGAACGGGGAGCCAGGCGCTGCACTTCCAGGGAGGCTTCCTGGAAAAGAGACACACTTTACCAGGTTCGCTGGAAGGCGAAGCCGTGGGTTGGTCGGAGAGGATGGGTCAGGGCGTCTCCTGGAGCAGGGGGTTCCCAAGCCTAGATGAGCTGGATTTGTGGCGCAGGCGCAGGGCCCGGCCACGTAGCTGCAGAGGCACCAAGCTGAGGCGCTCCAGGAGGGCCCGGGGGAGTGAGGTCCACCTGCCTTGACGCATCTCTCGTCTCCACCTGTAGATGTGTCGCCAGTGGTGGCCGGCCTCGTCGGGGCGTCCGTGCTGGTGGTGTGCGTCTCGGTGACCGTCTTCGTGTGGACGTGCTGCCACCAGCGGGCGGAGAAGAAGCATAAGACCCCCCCCTATAAGTTTATCCACATGCTCAAAGGCATCAGCATATACCCAGAGACCCTCAGCAACAAGAAGAAAATCATCAAAGTGCGGAGAGACAAAGACGGCCCCGGGAGGGAAGGGGGGCCCGGGAGCGTGCTGGTGGACGCGGCCGAGGCTGGCCTGCTGGGCCAAGACAAAGGCCCCAGGGGCCCCAGCTCCGGAACTTGTATAGACCAGTTACCCATCAAAGTGGACTATGGGGAAGAACTGAGGAGCCCCGTCCCAAGCCTGACCCCTGGGGAGAGCAAGACCACTTCTCCGTCGTCCCCGGAGGAGGAGGTGCTGCTGGGGTCCCTCACCTTCTCGGTGGACTATAACTTCCCGAAGAAAGCGCTGGTGGTGACCATCCAGGAGGCCCACGGGCTGCCAGTGATGGATGAACAGACCCAGGGCTCTGACCCCTACATCAAAATGACCATCCTTCCCGACAAGCGGCATCGGGTGAAGACCAGAGTGCTGCGGAAGACCCTGGACCCTGTGTTTGACGAGACCTTCACCTTCTACGGCATCCCCTACAGCCAGCTGCAGGACCTGGTGCTCCACTTCCTCGTCCTCAGCTTTGACCGCTTCTCCCGGGACGACGTCATCGGGGAGGTCATGGTGCCGCTGGCCGGCGTGGACCCCAGCACGGGCAAGGCACAGCTCACCCGGGACATCACCAAAAGGAACATCCAGGTGAGGAGGGAGAGCGTGTTGGGGGGATGGGGGGCTGATAGGCGGGGAGGGAGATGAGAGCTCAGGGAACAAGCGGAGGGGCAGGGGGCGTCCGGGGGGGGAGGGGCTGTCTAGAATCCGCAGGGGCCGGAGTGAAACAGGGCCTGTCATGCTGAGTCTCCTCCAAGAGGCACTTGGCGAGGACAGAGGCCCCGGCAGCTGCTGAGATCTCACTCAGTGCTTGGCTTGCGTGGAGCAGGGCAGCCCACCGGTCCTAGACCCTCATGAGATCAAGGCCGTGGGGGCCGGTTTCCTCTCCAGGGTCGTGTGTGACCTCCCTCCGGTGAACTGTGGTGGGGCTTCAGCCATTTTGCCCTCAGCTTCCCTTTCTCAGCCCACATCGCGGGCGTAAGTAGCATCGTGTCTGGGTTTGCAGCCGTGCCATGAATGCCGTGTAAGGATCCACTTCACTTTCCAGCCCCCCCTTCTGGGGCCTCACCCCCCGCCATGCTCGTCCTCGGCGCCCTGCTGTGCAGATTGGACGGGGACTGAGGGCCCACCCTCCTGCCTCCTCCCTGCTGGGCAGCTTTGGCTCTTGACTTGTAGTTTCAGGGGTGCAGGAAACGTGCCCTCACACCCCCCAGTTCACCCGTTTCTCCCACAGCCGCGGGTGCAGTGTGGTTCCCGGGGGGGAAGGGGAGGTCGCTTCAGCTCTGGCCGGACTGGCAGACTCAGGCCCAGCTCACCGCCTCCCTGCCGAGCAGCCCAGGGAGCTTCTGCACCCTCAGCTCCTGTTTGTCTGGCTCTGCGGTGGGGCCCGTAATTGCGTCTTCCTCACAGGGGGGTGAGGATTAGATGAGATAAGGCGTCTGGCCCGTTGTTGCCCTCGGAGGGCTTTCACTCTAGTGAAGAAGGACAGTCCTGGCAACTGCCAGACGGTCAGCGGGGCAGGTGGCCTGCAAGAGGCTGCTGGCGTTTTAAACCCAGAGTCCACTCCTGTTTCAAGATCCGGCCTGAGTGGTTAACGACAAGGGCTCTGAAGTCGAACCTGAGCGTGAATCCAGATCTCACCAGCCCACTGACCTTGGGCGAGCTGCTCAGCTCCTCTGATCTCCGTTTCTGATGGGACTTAAGCAAGATGATACATGCCCGTAGCCCCCGGCACACAGCAAACCTCCGAGACCGCATCACCACTACCTTGACTAGTCCTGTTATTAGTAAGGTCCGGTCTCTGGGAGGTACTGTGGTTCGCAGACATTTGTATTTTGTTTTAACAAAATAAAGGAGGGCAAGGGGCATGCAGAAGGAGGTGGAAGGTTCAGAAAGGATGTCGGGGCCACTGAGAACAGCCGCTTACCTTCCAGAAAGAGCCGTGGCTCCATTCCCTCCTTATGCCTCTTCTGCCTCCGAGCCCACACGGGACTCAGCGGGGAGGCAGGAGGCCCAGGATCTGACAAAAGAGGCTTCGGGGCCAGTAGAGGCTGGGTGTGCCCTGAGCTCTGGGCACAGGGTTTACCCGCTATAGGAGGGCGCCCCCCCCTTCCGTGTTGTGTCGCCGGCCCCCGCAGAGCAGCAGCGGGGGGGAAGGCCTTCCCCCCCCCGGGACGCCCCACGGCTTGAAGAGCGTGAGAGCTGCGATGTCAGGTCGTCTGCGCTGGTGTGGGGCCCAGACTCGCAGGCACCCGAGCCCCACACCTCAGACGCTCTCGCGTCCTCCGAGGCTGGAGTCAGAAGCCCCGGTGGGAACTGCAGGGGTGATGTGTGTTCAGCCCCGCCCCCCCGCTCCCTCCTGGGGCCCTGCCGACTCCTCCCTGCTCCGTGGTGCTCCTCTGCAGGCCTCCACCAGTGGCCCCAAGGGTCCCCCCCCCCCCCGCCTGCCAGACGCCCCAGACGCCCCCGCCCCCGCAGCCCGGGCTGCAGGCCTGCAGTGGCTCTGTGCCAGGCTGCAGCTGGGGAGGGGCTGGCCGGGAGAAGGGCTGATTCGGCCTGGGAACAAAGCCGCCTGAAATCCAGGACACTGGCCGGGGAGCGGACAATGGCGTTTGCTCACCCGCCAGGGGCTCTTGGCAGGAGCCATGTTTCTTTCCACTTTATTAACTCCCTTCAGGAGGGACAAGCCAGGGCGAGGATCCTGAGCAACCCGCCTCCCCACCCCCCCGCCCCGGCAGAAGCGCAGAGGGACGTGCAGAGCACCCCCTCCCCACCCCAACCCCTCGCCCGGGCCCTCCGAAGTGCGTTTCCGCAGCCGGTGCCCGTGGCCGGGGCTGCGCTCCGTCTTGAGCCACGAGGCCACAGGCCTCTCCCAGCGCAGCCTCCAGATGTCTGCCCTGAACCCTCCCTGCCGTGGCCGAGAGCCTGCCTTTCGGGGACTCCCCTTGGCCCAGCAGCTAGAGCTGCTCTGAACCATCCCACACTCTGGACGGAGCTTTTTCTGGTCTGTGGAAGGCACCCCCTTACAATAGGGGGCCACATTCTCTCCTCCAACCCAGAGGCCTGGGGGGCCTGGTGGGAATTGTGTTTCCCCAGATACCCCCCACCCCTAACTGCATTTCCTTTAGCAGAAAAACCGCCTCTCGTCCCTCCCGTTACCTAGTGCGATCTAGTGGAGGAGGTCCGGGGCTGGCTGTCATCTCTGACTTCCATTTCACCCCTCCCCGTTTCTCAGCCTCCGTCCTGGTCTGTGAAGGCTGACGGGATCAAGCTCTTAGGAAAAATTAACCCTTGATTATTAGTGAAAGATCACAGTATAAATTCTAGAATGCTCCATTTCTCTGAGTTGGATTCTGGAACCAGCTTTTTTTCGGGGGGGTGGGGAGGACGGAACAGCTATTTTTCTAATATCTTGTCTGGATAGAAATTGTTATTATTATTTTTAAGTAAGCTCTATAGCTAACGTGGGGCTCAAACTCATGACCCTGGTCCAGAGTCTCATGCTCTTCTGACTGAGACAGCCAGCCACCCCTCAGATAAAAATTGAAGTGAATTAGAGTGAGAATTAAAGTAAATTCCCATAATAGATCCCCCAGGAGGCGGCTGGAGGCGGCCCAGAGAGGGCGGGGGCACGGACAGAGGACGGGCAAAGAAGTAATTAGCAAGCAGATCAGGCAGAGTTGTTAGTTTCCCCTAAATTTCTTCAGGTCATTGTTTCCACATCCCTTCCTATCCTTCCTGGGCCACGTCTGGTGTTGAAGGCCTGGGACAGTGGTCGTGGGAATGACCGGATTCTCAAAATCTCAGACCCCTAAGGAACCTGAGAGGTCGTCCACTCGAGCCAAAAGGGACTGAAAAGAGAAAGAAGTGAGCCCCGGAGAGACTGGCTGTGCGAATGTACGGGGATGAGGGGGCTGTGGCACAACATTCAGGTGTTTGTTTCCCTTGCTTTCCCGACTGTGAGTTGTGTGGAGGTGGCCTCTGGCCCCAATAAAGTTGTGTCGGGGACGCGTGGGGCCACCTGGTGCAAAGACGGGGTGGCTGGACAGTCGCTCCGGAAGGGCCCTGCTGGCTACAGGGGACGGATGCTGTCCCTAGTGTTTCCTTACCTGCGTGTCTTCCCTGCCACCACTGTTCTGTTCCTCTTCCGCTGTGGGAGAAGGGAGCCCCTGAGAGCAAAGCCTCCCGCCCTCTCATGGGGGACAGGACCCCTCCTCCCCCGGTGTCCCCGCTTGTCTGGCCCCAACAGGGATTTCCTCAGCGGCCAGGGGGCTGGGAAACAGCTCACTCCCAGCCCTTGACAAAGATCCCTTGAGAAAGAGGCGTTGACAGTGCCACTCAGGATGGGAATAGGGTGGGAGGAGAAGGCGGGGGAGGGGACATGAAATCTGGCCTCCAGGGCACAGGAAGCGTGGCACTCGGGTCCTGTTGAGGCTGCAGACTTGACCTGGGCTTCCCTGGGGGGCGGCCGCACAGGGGCGGGCGTTCTGCCCACGTAAGATGACCCAAGGCGAAGGGGGGTGGATCAGACGGAGAACAGTTGCCTGAGGAGTGATTTTAGGGGAGAAAATCATTAAAAGGGCAACCAAAAGTTGTTCACTTTCCCCGAGAACTAGGGAAGGGACGTGGGGATTTAGACTGGGAAGGTTTTGCTATAATAATTTACAAAACACAGTTTTAACCAAATAATTGGGAAACCTAAGCTACAATTTTATAGCCAATGCTTTCTTATAAATAAAACACTTTGTTTTTTGTTTTTAATGATCAGGTTTCATTTTTTTTTTAAGCAGGCTCCATACCCAAAGTGGGGCTCAAACTCATGACCCCGAGATCAAGAGTCCATTGTGTGCTCTTGCCACTGAGCCAGCCAGGCGCTCCCAAAAACATCTCTTTAGAGTTTTCCCTTTGACCCTATCTACTCTTCCTCTGTATACAAAGTGAGAATTATATTGAGGATTGTGTGTGCACATTTCACGTTTAGATACCAGTATTCAAGGATGTTCCAGCCCTAGACCTCAAATCTAGTTCACATTTCTTGGGGGCTGGTGGACATGGAATGAAGCAGTGGCCCACATCATCCAGAAGTTCCTTCTAGATCAGAGCTGTCCGCTGGAACTCTCCGTGACGGTGCAAGTGTTCTGAATCTGCACTGGAACACTTGAAATATGGCTAGTGTGACCAAAGAACTAAAATTCTAGCCTCACTTAATTTTAACGAATTTAAATTTAAATGGACACTTGGACCTAGTTGCTACTGTGTTGGATAGCTCAGTTCTGAATGTTCCTCTGGAAGGTACGTGGGGTCACGTTCCTGATGCCATTTGGCCGTACCTCATAGTAGAAATGAGCCTACGTTCTCTGGTTGGGCTCTGACTCTGGTCAGATGGAAGCAGCCCAGAAGTATCCTGTTTGCAGTGACAACCAGCCTGTGATTCTCAGCTGGGGGTGAGGGGGTCCCTCCGCAGACATGATCAAGGGCTGACAACATGTATGTTCTGGAAAAGGAGACCCGTGGGCTTCAGTCTAGCAGAGAAGAGCCATGAAAATCTTCTGTAAAGTCTGTTCGCTTTTGGACTTCAGTTTTAAAAGCTAGAGGGTGGGTTTTGGGGCGCCTGGGTGGCTCAGTTGGTTAAGCATCCAATTTCGGCTCAGGTCATGATCTCACAGTTTGTGGGTTCAAGCCCCGCGTTGGGCTCTGTGCTGACAGCTCAGAGCCTGGAACCTGCTTCAGATTCTGTGTCTCCCCCTCTCTCTGCCCCTCCCCTGCTCATGCTCTCTCTCTCTCTCTCTCTCTCAGAAATAAATAAAAAACATTTAAATAAGTAAATAAACAAAAGCTAGAGGATAGGTTTAAATCTTGTTCATGGAATGCCCTACGAGGGACATTTCCATATGTTCCTGCTGTGAACTGTAGCCTCAGGAAGGTTTCTGAACCATGCAAAATATTACACTTTCATTCCTCGAGGCGAGTTAGGCTTCTGATCAAAGCACAGATTTTTAGGTTTCTTTCCTTTTCACTGATGAGCTAATTAATTAAATTATTTGCTGCTGTTCTTTGCTGCACCAGCACCCTGAGCAGGTAAGCACAGCAGGCGGGGGCTTCTCGAGAGTAGGGCTTCCCACCGCCCCGTCAGCCCCCGCCGCCAGCATTGCGGCTTCACCCAGCAGGTGCACGGCGCGTGCTTTCGTGCGCGTGCAGCACGGGTGAGGCTAGCGGCCAGTACAGCCGGTTCTGCTCAGTCTAGGACTTCCTGGAGCAGGTGGCAGTTCTTTGGGGCTTTGAGGAGCACAAGGAGTAAGAGTTGGTAACGAGGGAGTGATTTTCGTCCCAGGTTTACCTTATTGCGCCCAATATCTCTCGAGCCCCGCCTCCTTTTGTGTTCCTTCTCCCAACCCCATCCTCACTTGTAAAAAGCTAGATACACATTAAATTTTTAAAACATTTTAATGAAAAAAGCCAAACTATCCTTAATCATAATTCTAACAATGAGCTGGAAACAAGAAAGTGCCCTCCATCTCTTCCCTCTGCCCTCCACCTACGTCAGTTCTTCTTGCCCCGCGCCCATCCCTGGGTCCCGGCCTCAGTGACCCGCCCCCCCCCCAGCCTCGGGGCCGCCTCTGCTCCGTCCGTCCGTCTGTGCATCTGTCATCCAGCCTCCACTACAACAGTAACCGTCTTCGTGAATCGTTAACTCTGTGCCGGCCGGCCGGCCCCGCCTGTGTCTGCAGCCAAGTCTGCTGTTTGGTCTCAGGGCCCCACGGCCCTCGCCTGACCCACCCCCCAGGTTCCCTCCTCCCGGCACCCCCGCCAACTCTGGGAACACTGGGGACCCTCGCAGGCCCCAGGGCCTTCGCGGCGGCCATTCCTGCCACTCGTCCTGACTGGTCTTCCCACCAACTCATCGTCATAAACCCAGCCCAGAGGTCATGCGGCCGCAGCCCCCTCCCCGGGGCCCCCCAGCACTAGGACGGGTCCTGACTGCTCCGAGGGGGGCGCACTCCTTTGTGTCTGTCTCCTCTGGGCACAGTCGGCGCCTTGGGAGCAGGAACCAGATCCTGGTTCAGTCGGTGGAAGGTGCAACTCTGGATCTCAGGGTTATGAGTTAAGCCCCACCTTGGACATAGAGACGACTTAAAAGAAACAAAAAATGGAGGGGAAATAAAACAGATAAAAAAAGGAACTCGGGTCCTATTAGCTGCAGGCCGCCGCACCCAGCATGTGTCCTTAGGAGGCGTCTGGGGGCTCAGTTGGTTAAGCGTCAACTCTTGGTTTCAGCTCAGGCCATGATCTCATGGTTTGTGAGTTCAAGCCCCACATCAGGCTCTGCGCTGACAGTGCAGAGCGTGCTTGGGACTCTCCCTGCCCCTCCCCCACTCAGGCTGTGTCCTTCTCTCTCCAAATAAATAAAGAAAAAAAATTTTTAACATCCTTGGAGGACCAGAGGGTTTTTTCAAGCTCAAGGTAGAGCCTGGAATAAAACTTAACGAGGGAACACACAGAGGTGGGCGCAGGGAGGAAGCCGGCACTCCGGAGTGCTTTCACTGAGGCAGGCCCAGCGGTGTGGACACTCACCTTGTGAAACAGAGTCGCCGCCAGAAAGTTCAGGAACCTGCCCAAAGCCAGGTGGTGAGTAAACGGCAAAGCTAAGGCTCGACCCCAAGGTTCCCACCTCCCACTCTGCAGTCTCCAAAACGTCCATCCCAAGAACAAATGAGACAAGCAGAGACAATGGGCTTCTGTCTGGCGCCCTGTGTGCCAGGCACGGGCACAGGTAAACGTTTACTGATTTTAATGTATTTAATCCTCTCGATAACGCTCTGAAGCCAATACAGTTTGTATCTTCATCTTTCCGCTGAGAAAACTGATGCACAGAGACGTCAAGCTCTTGTCCACGGTCAACCAGACAAGCAGCTGCGGCAGAACTTGAATCTGGACCCACCCGGCCTCACGGTCTATGCTCTTGAATACAAGACGAGGCTACCTCTCCGTGCAGATGATTTTATTTAGCGTCAGAATTATGAGTTTTCCCGTGTTTCCCTCCCCGTTACTGTGATAGTTGCATCCTTATAGGACAAACATCTCCCCTGCCTCTCCCCCGTCACCGCTGCACACCCCCTGCACCAGGCTCTGCCCCCCCCCCCCCGCGGGACCCTCACTTGTTGTTTCCTCTCCGCAGAAGTGCATTAGCAGAGGGGAGCTCCAGGTGTCTCTGTCGTACCAGCCCGTGGCACAGAGAATGACAGTGGTGGTCCTCAAAGCCCGACACCTGCCGAAAATGGACATCACCGGTCTCTCAGGTAGCAGCTATTTACCCCAACCTGCTTCTGTCTGTCGCAGCCCCACCGCGTCCCCGGCCTGTGGCCCTGGCCCCTCCACCCGGTTTCTCCGTCCACACGCTCCTAGGTTGTAGGTTTCCCCAGCGGGGGCGGGGGCGCGTTGGGTGAGGAAACGGGTCCTTACGTGTGGTGGGGTGTCGGGCGCCGCGCCCTCGCTCCCGGCCAGACGTCTCAAAGGGACTTCTGTTAGTCCCGGCCCCCTTGGAAATGCCTCTTTGGGGTCATGAGGGGCCAGACCTGACCCAAGGCAGTTGTTCTGTTACGCGGTGCTTGGCTCCCGTGGGCCCCGGCCAGGCAGGCAGAGTGTGTCCGGTGTGAGGGCCACCAGAGAGAGAGAGAGAGAGGACCGCCAGAGCCCCCCCCCCCCGCCGCCAACACGAGCCCACTGTGCGTAGGAGGCCCGTGTCATGGGCCTGTCTCCTCTTTTCCTGTCTCCTCGGCGGCCCCAGATCCTTACGTCAAGGTGAACGTCTACTACGGCAGAAAGCGCATCGCCAAGAAGAAAACCCACGTGAAGAAGTGCACTTTGAACCCGGTCTTCAACGAGTCGTTTGTCTACGACATCCCCCCGGACCTGCTGCCTGACATCAGCATCGAGTTTCTGGTCATCGACTTCGACCGCAGCACCAAGAACGAGGCGGTGGGGAGGCTGATCCTGGGGGCGCACAGCGTCACGGCCAGCGGCGCGGAGCACTGGCGGGAGGTGTGCGAGAGCCCCCGCAAGCCCGTGGCCAAGTGGCACAGTCTGAGCGAGTACTAATCCTGTCCTCCTCGCCTGAGCCCGGGCCGGGCAGGGCCGGTGGGGGACGCCGGGGAGAAGCAGACTTAAAACCTCAATCTAGTTGTAGAAGAAGATTTCTTACAAAATAAACCCCACAGAGAACGCCCCACGTGACCACAGCTGCAGATCAGTTCTTAGTGATGATTTCCCTCCTTCGCAAGGCACTAGAAATTCTTTTTTTTTTTTAATGGGGGAAAAAGAGAGGGAAAGGCCTCACCAGTCTATATATAACAATGTAACCTTATACTTGCATGTCTAATACAAACTGAAGAAATTAGCCTAACTGCCAATATCCAGTTACAGATTTTGATCCATGAAAATTGTGTTTTGTGCCGAATTGTATTTGCTGATAACCTGAAATTGGCCTCTTTTCACCGGGCTTTTCTGGAGAGGCACCGTCTCCCCCCACCTCTGCAGATGAATAGTTTGCTCCTGCGAGACCTCACGGCTTCATCTTCCCCCCGTGTTCTCTGACACCCCTGCTCTCTGGCTGAGCCCAAGGCCCAGAGGTAGCGAGCTGGGGAACAGGCCGGGTGCACGAGGCAGGGTTTGCAGGGGAAGGAGGCGGCGAGGCGTCCCCGCGGGGAGGGGCAGGGGCGACCCGTGATTGCTGCATGGGGAGCACACGAGCACAGCAGGCTCACGAGGCAGAATTCGGGGCTTTACGAACAGACTACCTCCCTGGAGGGAGCTTCAGAGACTGCGAGCCGGCTCTCGGGTGGCACCGCGGGCCCCAGGCGCTGCTGGTGGGCGTGGGCAGGACGGAGGTGACCGTCACCGCCTGCGGCTACGCCAGCCAGTGACTGGCCTTTATTTTCCCAGAAATGCTCACCACGGAGAAGCCGCAGCCCTCTCAGGGAGCTTCGAGGAGGCTTGCTTTGCTTCATAAGGAAAAGGGCCTTGGGAAATTATTCTTTATCCTTAAGGTTTTTCAACTGTGGCTCTTCAAAATAACAAAATAAGTAAATGTGAGTTACTGAGCGATTGATCAAGGTAACGTGCCGTCCCTCAGAGCACAGTGCTTAGTTCTTGGAATCACGGGTCAAGGCCAGGTGAAGGGATGGGGGCGGCCCGGGTTGCCAGGGGGCCAGCGTCTTGCCGGGATTCAAACTCAGGTCTCCTGACTCCCGCTGGGCCCTGGCTCTGACGCCGAGGCCTCCCGGAGGGCAGCCACCCGGTCCGCGGGCGGCAGGCCTTTCCTCCGGCCTCCGGAGGGGCTCACACGAGCGGCAGCCAGAACGAGGCTGCAAAGGGCCACTTGGGCAGGTCCCCACCCACAGGGGCGTCCCTGCCCTCGCTCTGAGGCTGAGGCGGCCGGGGGTACACGGACAGGGCGGCGATGTTGCCTCTGACGTTCCCCGAGCTCTGGTGGAGTTAAGACCAGTCTGCTCCCCCTGAGTCCCTTTGTGGTTCTTTCTGAAGCCTGGATTCTCGATGGGCCGAGCAGGCCCCGAGCCCACGCCGCCAGCCCCACCCCCACTGACTCCCTGGCCCAGCAAGGAGTCCGCCCCGCGGTCTCCAGCCTATACCCCGTGGAATGTAAATACTGTATCATACGTAGAAGAAAATAATTTTTGTTTTCTAAAAATGCATTTTGAGATAGTTTAATGTCAATTGGACAGGAGCATCCTGAAGCCCCATTAGGAAAAAACCTAAATGCTTCCTCTTCATCGCCTTAATGTCTGAAGATCAGAAACCGCTGAGCACCTGCTCCCGTGTCCTTCCCAGAAGCAATGCAGGGCACAGGCGAGAGTCTGGTCGTGGCCCCGCCGAGGGTGCCTGGACCTCGTCCTGCCGCGCCCTCTCCCCCCCCCCCCCCCCCCCCCCCGCCTCCAGGCGGCTTCCTCCCTCATTCCCCGGGGCTGTTGAGCAGTGGGTGGCGAGGTGACAGGTTGGGGACCGGTAGTTCTGGGGGCCTGGAGTCAGTCGCCTCCGAGGAGGCGGACAGCACAGGGCTCCTCCCTCCTACCTCACGCCTGATCCGTCGTGCCCCTTGGCTCTGCTGTCCCCAAGTTTCCTAGCTGCCTTCGGCTTTCACCCGCGTCCCTGCCGCGGCCACCTGCTAAGGGCGGGGGAGCAGCGCGTCCTCCTCAGAGTCCGTTGAAAGACAAGAGAGTCGCACCCTAGCGTTTGCACAAGGCACTCGTGGTCGGGAACGGGTTAGGGGAACGGTCACTTCTGATTTTCCAAGAGTCGGTCCTTCTCTGCGGACATCTTGGTTCCTTCGGGAAGACAAGAGTTCTTCTTAGGAACAACGGTCCCTTTCTGAGTCATTCGTCCCCTCGGTTCTTCTCGGTGCAGTGCAGCCACGCGGCCCGGGGCCGGGAACGTGCACTAGGTATGACAACAGATAGAACTGGTCTGTGGGACAGGAGCGGCCTGCTCAGGACAGGGAACGGTACGAGTCCTTTTTCTTGGAAGGCTTTTACTATGGCCACGACAGTGACATTGCCCTCACCATGGTCCTTCTCCGATGTGGTCGTCTTTCTTTACCTTGTGTCTTCTCTTGTAAAAATGAAACTCAAGATAAATGTGTCAAATTAAAAAAAAAAAAAAGAAAAACCGGAAAAAGCTAACCAGAGTTGTGTGAAACTGCGTAATGCTGTACTGCTAACCTACAACGTGTAATGCTATCTTGTACGTGGACTTTGTTAACGCACCACACAAGTGCAAAATAAAGACTGACTCACATTAAACACACCAGGGGCACGCGCATGTCTTCTCGGGAGCCGGGTGACTGGGAATGAGGTCAGTCCTCAGACTGCGGGAATGTTCCAGGGCGGGCCCCCAGCACCGATTCCACGGGCATCTGGGGCACGTGTTAGAAAATGCAGATTAAAATGCAGATTGGGGGGCACCTGGGTGGCTTAGTCAGTTAAGCGTCCGACTTTCGCTCAGGTCATGATCTCGCAGTTCGTGGGTTCGAGCTCTGCGTCGGGCTCTGTGCTGACTGCCAGCTCAGAGCCTGGAGCTTATTTCAAAGTCTGTGACTCCCTCTCTCTCTGACCCTCCCCTGCTCACGCTGTCTCTCTCTCCTAGAAATAAATAAAACATTAAAAAAAAAAATTTAAAAAAAGAAAATGCAGATTGGGGGGCACCTGGGTGGCTTAGTCGGTTAAGCGTCCTGACTTTAGCTTAGGTCATGATCTCGCGGTTTGTGGGTTCAAGCCCCGCGTCGCGCTCTGTGCTGACTGCCAGCTCAGAGCCTGGAGCTTATTTCAAAGTCTGTGACTCCCTCTCTCTCTGACCCTCCCCTGCTCACGCTGTCTCTCTCTCCTAGAAATAAATAAAACATTAAAAAAAATTAAAAAAAAAAGAAAATGCAGATTGGGGGGCACCTGGGTGGCTTAGTCAGTTAAGCGTCCGACTTTAGCTTAGGTCATGATCTCACGGTTTGTGGGTTCGAGCCCCGCGTCGGGCTCTGTGCTGACTGCCAGCTCAGTCAGCTTATTTCAAAGTCTGTGACTCCCTCTCTCTCTGACCCTCCCCTGCTCACGCTGTCTCTCTCTCTCTCTCTCCTAGAAATAAATAAAAAACATTTAAAAAAAAAAAAGGAAAGAAAATGCAGATGGGAGGGCGCTGGCTCAGTCTGGGGAACCTCCAACGTCTGCTCTCAGGGTCATGAGTTCAAGCTCCACGCTGGGTGTAGAGCTTTCTGAAAAAAGTAGAAAGGGGCGCCTGGGTGGCTCAGTCCGTTAAGCATCCAACTTCAGCTCAGGTCATGATCTCCCGGTTCGTGGGTTCGAGCCCCGCGTCGGGCTCTGTGCTGAGAGCTCAGAGCCTGGAGCTGCTTCAGATTCTGTCTCCCTCTCTCTCTGCCCCTCCCCTGCTCACGCTGTCTACCTCTCTCAGAAATAAACAAAACATTAAAAAAATCTTTTTTAATTTTTTTCTTTTTAAAAAGAAAGAAAAAAATGCAGATTCCAGGCTCCAGACCTAAAGTCCTTTCTCCGGTGCTTCTGTTTTCCTCTCAGAAGGGGATTCCTAAGACCGTAACCACCAGGAGAGAGGTAGGGGCTTCGATGCTAAATAGCCTGTCCCTGTAGCTGGAAATATTTGTCCCCCAAAGTATTTGTGCCCCCGCAGCAATACCCGAGGGCTGATTCTGTGCCACCTGCATCCCCCCCTCAGCGAGCCCGTGTCCTGGAGCGCTGGGGCCACGGCTCGCGGCTGCGGACGGGCTGCTCCGGGGCGGCCTCAGCAGCGAGCGGCGGCCGTCAGCGCCAGGGCGCAGGTGCGGTGTCCTCACGGGCCGGGACGTGCTGTGAAAGAAAAGACCTGCAGGTTCACGTGCCTCGAGGGTCGAGCCCGGGCCGCTAGGACCCCTGCGGCTGCGCCTGCACGACGCACCTTCCCTACCTTCTGCTCCGCGGGGACTGCCTTCCTGCGTGAACGAGCTGGAAGCAGGAGAGAAAGCTGGTGCTCTTCTAACCTGCTAGTGAGGAACTAAACACCATTTCATTTCATCATTTTAAAAAATTTATTTTGAGGGGCGCCTGGGTGGCTTAGTCGGTTAAGCGTCCGACTTCGGCTCAGGTCATGATCTCACTGTTCGTGGGTTCGGGCCCCGCGTCGGGCTCTGTGCTGGCTGCCAGCTCCGAGCCTGGAGCCTGTTTCAGTCTGTGACTCCCTCTCTCTCTGACCCTCCCCTGCTCACGCTGTCTCTCTCTCTGTCTCTCTCTCTCTCTCTCTCTCTCCTGGAAATAAATAAAACATTAAAAAAATAAAAATAAAAATAAAAAAATAAAAAATTTATTTTGAGAGATAGAGCGTGAGTGGGGGGAGGGGCAGAGAGACAGAGAGGGAGACAGAGTCCCGAGCAGGCTCTGAGCTGTCGGCACAGAGGCCGACCTGGGGCTCGAACTCCCCAACTATGAGATCATGACCAGAACCAAAACCAAGAGTCAGACGCTCAACCAACTGAGCCACCCGTGTGCCCCCAAAAAACATTTTTAAATGACAAAGTAATATAATAGGCATATGATACAAAAATTGGAAAATAGAGAAAAGGGAAAAACATTGGTTAAGATTCCCAAAACTTCCCAACCATTCTGTCTTCTAGTGTTATTTCCTGTGCGTTTCTTTCCTGATGCACCACACAGGGTCACTGGAGAAAACATAAGCTAAAGTACAAGTTCACAGAAGCAGGAAAAAGTCCGTCTACAGGCAGCCATCACTAATTTCAGCACACCTTCCTAACTGAACTATCTTACGACAACGGGCACCTGGGTGACTCAGTCGGTTGAGCATCAGACTCGATCTCAGTTCAGGCCTTGATCTCAGGGTCGTGAGTCCAAGCCCCACACTGAACCCCCCGCTGGGCATGAGGCCTACTTAAAAAAATTGGGGCACCTGGGTGGCTCAGTCAGTTGAGTGTCCGACTACAGTTCGTGAGTTCGACCCCACGTCGGGCTCGCTGCTGTCCGCACAGAGCCTGCTTCGGAGCCTCTGTTCCTTCCTCTCTCTGCCCCTCCCCCATTCACGTTCTCTCAAAAATAAACATTAAAAAATAAAATGGAAAAAAGAGAAAGAAAATAAAATAATTGAACTATCTTAGGATGGCAATCGTGTCACACGTAGAATTTTGCATATTTTTTCCAGGCGGTAAGTCTGAAAAAAATAACATGATAACAGAACAACAATGGTAAGAGGATCTTGGCACTAAGGATGCTTTTGTCCGTGATGAACAGGAAACCCAATTCAAATTGTTAAACATTAGGAACACATCCAGGCTCACCTAACCGGAAGCCCACAGGCGGGGCAGGCTTCCGAGGGACTCTGGCAAAAGGTCACTAACACCAGGAAGGACCCGGTGCTTTCTGTGGGCTCACTCTGATGTTCAATGTCGCCTTGATCCTGGAGGCTTTATGATACTCACAGGCCCACTTGCAGGGGATAAGAGGAGACTGCTTTGGGGCCTCTCCCAGAAAAACAAGGTAAACCACCCCAGACAACCTCCGGCCACTCCCTCTGACCTCGCTGGTCCCAGTGTGTCACATGGTCATCGCCAAGCCCATCAGGCAGGGAGGGGGGAGGGTCTTCAGGGCTGCCCTGGAACCGAGTGTGGGAAATGGGTGGATTCTTACATAAAATGTCATTTTGTGTGGAAGGAGGAGTGGGTGCTGGGTGGGCATTGAAGCCCCCGCAGTTTTCTGTGTGTGCCACCTCTCTGTCCAAAGCATTTTCTCCCATGATCTACCGAAGTCTCAGAGAAGAGCACTGACCTCATCCACCCTCCACACCGTGTGCTTTGAAAAGACAAACAGCCTCGGCTTGGGGTCCCCTTTATTTATTTATTTATTTATTTATTTATTTATTTTTATTTCTAGGAGAGAGAGAGACAGCGTGAGCAGGGGAGGGTCAGAGAGAGAGGGAGTCACAGACTGAAACAGGCTCCAGGCTCCAAGCCGTCAGTCAGCACAGAGCCCGACGCGGGGCCCAAACCCACGAACCGCGAGATCATGACCTAAGCGAAAGTCGGTCACTTAACCGACTAAGCCACCCAGGCACCCCATCTTGGGGTCCCCTTTAAATAATTCAAGGACAACACCGACTTGGCCACGGAGCACAGCTTTTCAGAAAGCTGAAAACATCTCCGTTCCTTTTTTTTTTTTTTTTTAAGTTTATTTAAGTCCTCTCCACACCCAGTGTGGGGCTCAAACTCACAACCCCGAGAATGAGGACTCGCACTCCTGCTGGACACCCTGACGCTGCACGTTTTCGTGATCGGCGGTCACTCATGCCAAACCAGTGTCTTCTTGGACATTTTTCCAAGTTGCCATTTAATTGTTCGCCAAGAAGCTGGAGTTCCTACACGTCCCCTTCCCCCTTTCATTCTCCACATCTCTCACTGAGATTTTGCACACGAGACTCGGAGGTGCCTGGGAGCACCTGGCTGGCTCGGTGAGCGTGCAGCTCTTGAGCTCAGGGTCGTGAGTTCAAGCCCCAGGTGGGCGCGGCGCCGCACTAAAACAAACAAAACGGGGGTGCCTGAAGAACAGAGCTGAGTTCCCAAGGCCTGTGCGCTTGTAACTCACGGAACTCCCGACGACGCCACAACGCCTGGCGTCCAGCAGGTGCTCAGGGAAGCTCTGCGGGATGAAGGAAAACACGCAGGGGACACAATACTGTCTGGGAAGCAGACCGAAACCAAACACAAAACATCTGTGCCTCTTCCTACTTCCTGAGTTGGGAGTTTCAAAAGGAGTTTGGTCTAAAGTGGAGGCTTGTTTTTGTTAGTTTTCTGGGAGGCGGTGGTGGCAGCAGGTGGGTGCGAGCTGCGACCAGACCCCCATGTTCACCGGGGAGGGCGGGGGGGGGGGGGGGGGGGGGGGGGGGGTTCTGAGGGCCGGAGAGTCCAGCGGCCGCGCCGTTCCGGGGGGGCCCGAGTGGACCTGGCGGGCACACTCGCCTTCCCGGGCGGCAGAGACTTCACATGGGATGACCGTGTCCTGGGGCACGCCCTGGACTCCCCTCGGACAAGGCGCTCGTGCGCGAGGGAACCGGGAGAGGCCTCTGACGGGGCTCGTTCTGGACCTGGGATGCTCTCCGGGCTCAGAGCAAACTGCGCTCCACTAGCACTAGCAGCTCTGGGAAGGGGAGGAACGGCCCGCCCTCACCCCAGCAGCTTTCGTTCAGAAATCGGAGTGACTTCATGACATGACCGCGTCTGCCGAGTAAGAGCAAGGGCTGTGAGAGCTGAAACCCGTCAGTAATTCTGTCTCAGGCCGACTCCTGTTCAGAAGTTGGCCGGAAATTTCAGCGCCCCCGGAACACGAGGACCCCCCAGTGGCTTCCTTCGGAAGGCGCGAGGGGCTCATTTTCCTTGCTTGGCCCCCGGCCCCGGCCCCGGCCGCCCCGCCGCACGCACGGCCCGCGCCCGCTGCCTCGCGCGCCGCCGCTGCCGCCCGGGCTCTCGGGTCCCCGAGCCCCGGGCCTCCTGACCTGGGAGCGCCTGCGCGGCTGCCAACGGAACCACCCGGGGAGGTGTCGTCTTCTAGGTTCCCGGATCCTCTCGGGGAGCCGGCAAATCAGCATCTCCAGAGGGGACGCTGAGAAAAGGAGGGAAGGACAGAACAGCTCTTAGCGGTCCCTGCTCCAGAGCAGGCGGGTTGCTGGGGGCGCCCGGCCCCCACGGGGTCCCCCGGCCCCCACGGGGTCCCCCCGGCTCTAACCCCGAGCGCTCACCCCGCTCCCGGCTCTCTAACGCTGCGCGGGAGTCGTCCGACGTGCAGGAGCCTGGGCTTCTCTGTTGTTCTAAGTCACACTTCTCCTTTTTGAGGAATCTTCACGGCCTAATTCTACCTACCAATTTACTCCAGACCTTTCAACGTTTCCATTTAATTAGTCGATGTAACACGGCCTGATGTTGCCCACGTACTGCCTTCCAGAAACATGTCAGGAGTCTTTGCTGAGGCTCGCCAGCTCTAGCCTACAGAAGCCGGCCGTGTCCCGCTCTCACCACGGGACAGAGAAGGGAACGGTCCCCGAGGCGCTCCGCGCGGTCCACCCGCTTGTGCTGGCCCGCTGCATTTCCTGAAAAACTGACACCCAGCCTGTCCCCCAGACCATCGTCGGTCCTTTGCGCCACACCAGCAGCGAGGCAGCTGGAGGCCACAAGGACCACGGGCTTCCTTCCCGCAGACAAGAGCGGACGCAGCCCCAGCTCCCCCGGGAGGCGGCTGCGATCTCGCCCAACGGGACGGCTCGCCGCGACACACGGGTGACCAGGAAAGCAAGGGAGAACGACAAGCCTAATCTTTCAGGTTTCACCGAAGAAAACCTGCCAAAATTGAGTAAAATACAATACGGTCGCCATTTTCTTTCTTTATTCTAGTTTATGCCATACCTAATCATGTAACACAATTCTTAGCGGGGAGAAGAGAAGGACAAAATATCTCTGTGCAGCGAGAGCGTTTGGAGAGATCTGAGGACAGGGGGAGTGATCCATCTCCTTGGAGAACTCGGACCTCCAGCCACCTCCCCGGGCAGTCAGCCCCCCACGCTCCAGTCCCTGCTGAGCTGATGGATGTAGGAAGCAGAGCTCGAATACAAACTTGACTTTGAAGCAGAACGACCCGGGATCACCATAAACCCAACACTTTCCATACTGAACCGTCTTTTTTTTTTTTTTTAATTTTTTAAAATGTTTATTTATTTATTTCTAGGAGAGAGAGAGAGAGAGAGCGTGAGCAGAGGAGGGTCAGAGAGAGAGGGAGTCACAGACCGAAACGGGCTCCAGGCTCTGAGCTGGCAGTCAGCACAGAGCCCGACGCGGGGCTCGAACCCACGAACCGCGAGGTCATGACCTAAGCGAAAGTCAGACGCTAACCTACTAAGCCACCCAGGAGCCCCTGAACCGTCTCTTAAAGCCAAGTTCCCGTCAGTGTTGACACGGACTCCTCAAAGGTAAGACTTCAAATTCCTGTTATTGTTCTCTCACCCTTCTCAGTTAAGTTTGGAAGTTCGGAAAAGGAGCATCACTACCAATTACTTGTCAGGCCCTTCCTAAATGTAGTTATTTATATATATGTATACATATATTTGTTTAATCTTTTATTTAGTTTATATATGATTACCATATATAAATTTCTTCTATGTAAATATTTAAATACATTTTGTCTATACATATTTACACGTGTGTTGTGTGTGTGTGTATATATATATATGTATGTGTATATATATCTTCAGCTCAGGTCATGACCTCACAATTTAGGAAATCGAGCCCCACCCACATCTGGGCCCCTCCCCCACCCCCACACGTGGGCACACTCTCAAAATAAATAAATTAATGTAAAAATAAATGTAAAAACAAAAAAGCAATAAGGGCACCTCGGTGGCTCAGTCAGTGAAGTGTCCGACTTCGGCTCAGGTCATGATGTCACAATTCAGGTGTTCGAGCCCTGCATTGGGCCCCACACCGACTGCATGGAGCCTGCTTGGAATTCTCGCTCTTTCCCTCTCTGTCTCAGAGGCCCCTCCCCCACTTGCACTTTCTCTCTCAAAATAAATAAATAACTTTAAAAAAATAAGCTATAAACACCAGGAAGCTCTGGGTCCCACCGCTGGGCCAGCCACTCATTTCCCCCTCTGAGTTCTTGTCACAGTCCAAGTTTGAAGCACTACTGCTCTAAGACTGACGTCTAGTTGTGAATGCAAATTTTATTAAAGGTCAAGAGCGGGGCTACCTTATATCCCTTCGTACCCCCCACAGTCTCACACAGTGCTTAGCGCGGGGGCCCCCGAACACCGTGACCCCACCACCTAACCTACTGGAGGTCGGTTTAGAAGCACGAATACTGACCCCTCCCTGCCTCTGTCTCAATAGTGGACCCCACTGACAGGTACGGACCTGCTCGACACAACCCAGGTCCTGAGGACACAAAACCACATCCTTTAACGTCCAACCCCAGTCCCTCTACAAACCTGATGCCCACTGATAGCAGTGGAGTCGAAAGCCATGCCCTGCGCGTAAAGCAGTCATTCCTTACAGTCTCACGTTTAGTTTACACACTTGAAACAACTTGACCCCTCTGGCAGGGGGCAAGTGTGCTGTTTTCAGCGTGTTTTCCTGTCTCCCCACGGCTCCACCTCTCTGGAGACACTGGGGTCTCAGTGGGGTCACTCAGGCACCGCCCCAGTGGGGAGCTCATTGTGCACGACCAAGCAGCAAGCACCCCCAAGCGCCCCGGCCTGCTGGAGCCAGGGCAGGGGACAGTGCCCCAGGCAGGGACCAGAGTCTGGAGTCCTGTAGAGGCAGATCCCCACTCGCTGTCACACGGAGACTCCCCTCCCTCCAGCCCCTCAGCCTGCACATGCCTGAGGTCACCTGTCTGAAGTAAGGGGACTTCCACAGCACACGCCCCGGGACGTGGCGTGGTGTTCTGCACGTGGGTGCACTCACATTTTTTGGAATCTGTATTTTCCAGAACATAAAATCTCCTGGTATTAAATCTTAAAATGATCTTGTGCAAGAATTCCAAGCATTTGACCCACACACAGGTAAGGAAAGGAGGAGCCCGACGAGTGTTTAAAAGTTCTGTATTGTGTCACATAAACTGTCTTCACATACAAGCACGTACGTGAGAGGCTGCTCCCTTCCTCCCCCGTAACCCCCAGACATCACAGCAGACCGATTCATCTAATATTTGATAAAGTTAAAATGTATCCCTTCTAGACACTAGTTTCTAAATCTTATGACTTCACCTGGCGGCACAGACAGTTCCGGCGCTTTGAGGCTTGTCCCTGAATGTTTCTCTCTTCAAAGTTCTAGGCAGTAACTGATTGTAATGCCCTCAAAGTGGATAAACCTGACTCTTTAGAGCTTATAAATTACACACTCTTAGGTCACTAAGAATTGAGCTGTTACCTACACATAATACACCCCCTCAAAATATTTAGCACCATAAACAGAATTCTCAATACTAACTAATGGGCTGATCAATCCAATGATCAAAGATATGACAGTGACAGTCTTAAAAACACAAATGTGTTACTTTTCTCATACACAATCCAAATTCCCTCCTGTCTCACAGATCTTTGTTTCTGGCAATGTTCTCTGCTGCCTTGAATGTCCTGAATAATTATACAGCTGTCAAGTTCTTGTCTGACGCTAATTACAATTCCCTAGGTCATTAGTAATGAGAAGCTAAGGCATTACATGTAAAAGGCCGAGCTGATTTACATGTGGTGAAATACTGGTACAAGAGAATTGCACTACATTGCGTCTCTACCTTCATGCTTTGCTAAAGTGCTATGGTTCCTGTAAGATTTCCATCCTGCATAGATAGATTCAAGTTCTGGGTCTCTCACTTTTGGATGGCTTGAGTACCACAAAACATAATTTATCTGGTTTCAAAAGGGACCACTACTAAGCTAAGAAAAGTTGTAACCATCACCCCTTTCTTTAAACCTAGAACATAAACCCCACTGGGTAGGAGGAAACACACCCACCCTGTCCTCCCGCCTGTAATTAAAGGGAAAGCAGGTCAGTTGAGGTGTGCACTTTTAAGAGGGGCCCCATAGTCCTGGTAAGAGATTAGAATGCTTCAATGACATGTAAGGTCCGATATACGCTGCATTATTCTTAACACTTCCGCACTTAATCTCTACACATAGAAAGTCCAGGTATCAAAACAATCCTGATTCTAAAAAAGAGAACTCACCACCAATATTTAAAGCTGTTCCTTCTCAGGACCGTCTCCCAGCTATGCACAAATCTCAAGGTGGTATTCTCTTAGGCTAAGTTTTGTCAAGGCTCAGACAACCCTGAGGTGAACTCAACAAGGTCCCTGTAAAGAAATCTTCAATGAGAAGCCCAGCACATGGGAATTTTCTAAAGCTTCACAACTGGCTCGTTAGTACGAGACGCACAGGCTTTCCCAGAGCGTGGAGTCTGGGGACTGTGCTGGGGAGGCACACGCAAGTGGACTCTAACCCCTGATGGCTCTGCCGTACGGAAGTCACGGGGAGTCTGACGACGGACCTACAGCACACGTGGCCAGGCCCCGCTCTCCTCGGGAGCACAGGGAAGCACTTGACACATGGGTGTCAGCATCTCTGGAGAAAAAATACACCCTGAATGAGAACTTAGTAATCCAGTAATGGTTCCCAAAGCACGCACCTTTGACAGAAAACGAAGGCTAAACTCTGAAAGGAAGAACAAAATAGCTTCGTAGAAGAAACCTTCATACATTGCACTTGCTTCTGTTTGTCTTCACCCATCTCGGTGCGTCTGGGTAAGATGTGCGCGTCTCAGGAAAGCCAGGCCCACACTGAGAACGCAGCTGGGATGCTACCTGTCCCTAGTGACCTACCCGGCCGCCCCCACAGCCTGGCTTCCCTGATCTCATCAGTCCCTAATCTCCAACAGGAGGCAGTTCCACAGCTACTCTCTGAGCTGTACCACTGGTCTCCCTACCAGGTTCTCGCTCTGTGTCCAGGAAGCACAGGAGAACAGAAGAAAGTGAGGCCTTCCCAGAGAAGGTCCCAGGAAACCCAAGTAGAAAAGAACACGGAGTAGTGCATAGCAGAAAGTCCCTCTCGTGGGCTTAGTCAAACACGCGTGATACATATATTCCCCCAGGGTATAAACAATCAACACTAATGAACTAATATCAGGAACAGAACCCAAAGCATCGGTAGATCAAATTCTAATGTGACAATTTAAAAGTAGACAGTGCCCCACTGGGTTAATAAGTCAGAATGAACTAAAAGACAGTATTCTACACACCACATCACTGGAAACTCCCACTAGGCACACCCCCTTCATCGGTTATGTTTACAGTAACGGTCATTAACAGGAGAAAGAGCGAGCGCCGTGCTCACTAACGCGGGTTACTGGACTGCTCTGAGTACGCCCTGCAGTTCACAGATGAACACCTCACAGCTTCCCTTCAAGTTACAGAGTCTTTCTTCTTCCGGAACGGGGATTTTAGCCTCTTCCATACACTGGTTTTGGGTTTAGACTTCTTCTCCATGGCCAGCACTGCCTCCTTTTCTTTCCTACGTATTTCCCGTACGATGGCATGGAATACATCATCGATGTAGTAGCGGTAGGCAGCAGAGGTCTCAAAAAAGGGACAGCTGAATTCTCGGGCCAAAGCCAATCCTTCTTCCTTGGTGACCTTTAAAAACATAAACATGAGAAAATGTAAACACGAAAAAACGTATAGTGGTAACCATATAAAACAATTACAGCTGCCCCAAAATGTGAAAAGTGAAGGGGCTATCTAACAGAAAGAGAGCTCCTCAACACTGGAGGTATTCAAGAAGAAATCAGTAGGGAAAGCTGAATTCGAGGATTCCCTCTGCCTTCAAATTGTGTGATTCTATTTCTAATCTACTTTAAAGAGAACTTCTTAGAACAGGGAGTAATTACAGATCCTGAGTATGTAATTTTAATTTCCTTAAACTTTCATAAATCCAAAATCAAGATATTCAATTAGGGATAGACCATAATTTCTCCTAGGTCTGAACATTCAGACTTTTTTTCTTTGCTACCATAAATAGCCTGGCAATGAACATTTTATATATGTATATTCCTGAAAATATTTTTCAAACAGGCATTAACAGAGAAGCATTATGAACGTCTGTACTATCCAACTACTATCCGAAAAGTCTGTCCCCCACCACCGCTCCCATCAGTAGTCATCATGTGCCTTGTGACCCCAAACAGCAACGCTTTAAACATGCTTGGTAACTTGATGACCAGCACCACTTGCTCTAAAATCCTTCCCGATTCTTATCCGCCCCTTCCAGAGTTCATTACCCTCACCGTCAGGAAGTCGATCTTGGAATCTAACCTACATTTGTCCTGTTGCAACATCAATACATAGATTATTCATTTTCTAAGGTTTTAGGAAATGAACATTCCATGATCCTTCATTTAATGTGAGTTGTATGTCATTGGATTACCATCCTATGGATTTTATCCTGTACACAGATTCCTAATTCAGATTTTCTCCAAACTAACTGCAAATTAATAGACATAGAGAAATTTCCAAAGTTAAGGAGAAGCTAATTTTAGATTTTTATCTTAAGGCAAAGAAACCTATAAACAGTGAAACAACAATGACCAAGCTCCCAAGACCGCAGATCCCATTTCCGCTCGCTCCTCACCTGTCTTAGCTGCTTCAGGTCAGACTTGTTTCCCACCAGAACCACAGGGGTATCATCAGTGCGTCGAACTCGGTAAATAAGCTGCTTAAATTCCCGAACTTCATGGAAGCTTCGACGATCCGTGATGGAGTAACAGATGATGAACCCTTCTCCCGCCCTCATATACTGATCCCGCATGGCCGTGAACTCTGCCTGGGGGGGGGACAGGGTCACGACTGCATCGGTGCAACCTAGCACTACGCTGTATTAGCTATTACTTCAGAGTCAAAAAAACACACATCAATTACCTGCTATCCTGAGTCAGAGGGCATGAAAAATCAACAGAGAGGAACTGGTGATCTTCTCTGAGTAAGCCTTCCTCCCCTTTACCAGAGTGAACACCCCCTTATACCTAGTGTTCTGAGATTTAATACCTGTCCAGCCGTATCCAAAATGTCCAGGTTGGCAGGCTCGTCATCAATACGGATCCGGATTTTATAAGCATCTTCTACAGGAGGGAAGAAAGTGGTACTATAAACCCATAAATACAGAAATATGTGACCGAATTTTAATTTTTTCCTTTCCAAGTAATCTCTAAGCCCAACATGGGGCTTGAACTAAAACTAATGAACCAGAGATCAAGAGTCAAAGGCTCTACCAATTGAGCCACCCCAGAGCCCTGCAACCTTATTTTAAAATTCATCTTACGGGGCGCGCCTGGGTGGCTCAGTCAGGGAAGCATCTGACTTTGGCTCAGGTCATGATCTCACGATTGGTGAGTTCGAGCCCAGAACAGGGTCACTGCCGTCAGCACAGAGGATCCTCTGCCTCCTTCTCTGCCCCTCCCCCGCTTGCATGCGTGCACATGTGCGTGTTCTCTCTGTCTCTCTCTCAAAAATAAACATTTCAAAATTTGCCTTATGGAGAATTAGATTACACCCACGTTCTCTACATGCCCGGATTTTCTCGGGAAACATGCTAAATCTATTAAGATATGCGAATTGGGTCTTCAGCTGGCGCGTTTGTTTTCACCTCGGCAATGACGTAAGCTTGTTCACTGCTCAAGTTTCTAAGGTTTCACCTATGATCCTAAGCAAAAAAAAAAAGGACACTGTCTTTTTTAAAAAATATTACACTCGGAAAGTAACCTTACCAATTTTTAAATTAATATTAGATGCAAGGCATTATCCTAAGTAACCTAGATACTGAACTCATTCAAGAGTAGCAATAATCCAATAGTGACAGATATGCCAATAATCCATAGCAGGCACCGTTATCTCTATTTTGTAGGTAAAGAAAGTGAAATTCTAAAACAGTAGAAGTCTTCCCCATATTACACAGCTACATTTGACTAAATACTATGGTTTCTCTTCCTGTTAAATCCAAACAAAAAAGAAAAACCAAAATTTCCTTTTTTCTAGGTAATCCATATTGTCATAATTTCTCCTCTATGAAACTAATTTCTCATTGCATGTTATTATAGTAACCTTGGAAAATACAATTGAAAAAAGAAAAACACCCACTCAATATTTCTATCATTCAAATAACTGTTGCTTATACCCCACTGTATTTCAACATTTTTTCTCGAACCCCTGCCTCTGACTCTTCCTCAAAGATAAAGAGCCCGCTACACCACTGTTTCTCAAACATCAGGTCATGATCCATTAGGATTAAAGAGTCGTGAATGAATTTAATGGGATGGGATCAGCATTAAAATAAATAAGCAAAAATCTAAAGGAAAAAGCACGAAGAGCATACCACACGCAGTGACATAAATAGTTCCCTGATCTTAATCACATGTATATACGTACATAAGTACACGTACACACAGGCAAAGACACTCATATGTGTACTGGGTACAGTGTAAGGCTTTTCTTCTTAGAGTCAACAGCCAAAGTTGAAACAAAACCCAATATATAAACTCAAAGAGAGCATGGGTCAAATCTTTTTGTTTTTTTGTTTGTTTTCATGTTTTATTTATTTCTAGGAGAGAGAGAGAGAGACAGCGTGAGCAGGGGAGGGTCAGAGAGAGAGGGAGTCACAGACTGAAACAGGCTTCAGGCTCTGAGCTGGCAGTCAGCACAGAGCCCGACGCGGGGCTTGAACCCACAAACCGCGAGATCATGACCTAAGCGAAAGTCGGACACTTAACCGACTAAGCCACCCAGGCGCCCCTTTTTTGTTTGTTTGTTTTTTTCATAAATCTTTTTGCTCCCCACTATACCCTCTGGGCCTACTACAGTGCTTGGCATATAACGAGAACTCAAGAGACATTAAGTATCTGCTGTTGAATCATACAATGCTGTCAGGAGAGCAGTGGACTGGGGAAAAAAATTGACTGAAAAAATTAACTCTTTTGGGGCACCTTGGTGGCTCCGTAGGTGAAGTGTCCAACTTTGGCTCAGGTCATGAGCTCACCATTCATGGGTCTGAGCCCCGAGTAGGGCTCTGGAGCCTGCTTCAGACTCTGTGTCTCCCTCTTTCTGCCCCTCCCTCACTCGCACTTTGTCTCTCTCTAAAATAAATAAATGTTAAAAAAAGAAAAATGGAAAAGATAAAGTACCAGGGCACCTGGGTGGCTCAGTCGGTTAAGCGGCAGACTCCTGATTTCAGCTCAGGTCACGATTTCAGAGTTTGTGAGTTTGAGCCCCAAGTCGGGCTCCGCCCTCACAGTGCGGAGCTTGCTTGGGACTCTCTCCTTGTATCTGACTCTCTCCCACTTGCTATCTCTCAAAATAAATAAAAATAAGCTTAAAAAAAAAAAAAACAAGGCTGTTTATGTTTTTCTCAAGCTGTAGAAGCGTTTACTGTATAAAATGACTACATTCAAAGCTGGCTCAGCACAGAGCACTACTGGCTTTGTGGAGGACAGGCAGGGCCTGGCCCAGGGGCAATCCTCCCTAGAGACCCAGGGTCACCACACAGTCACATTCTGAACACACTAGAGCACGGCGGACCTTCTGTGCCCTCCCCTATCCCCTCCCCCACCATTTTTATTTTGTCCTGGGATGTAACTAACCCCTTAAAATCAAACCTGCTTCCTTATGGTTCAGGAATGACAGTAGTGTTCTCGGTCCTTGTAGAGAATGACAACTTTTTTAAAAAAGGCAAAACAAAATTACTTTTTACTCCCACGACGTGTTGCCAACAGCAGAGTGTTAATATTAACCTCAGGAGGTAATCAACTTGAGGGATGAGGAAGTAAATGAAGGGCTTCCAGTGGAAGGAGTCCAGTGTGCAAGGCTGAGCTGTAAGAGTTCAGCACTGGCTCGACTTGTTTTTCTGCTTCCTTTTGTGGAAGTTCAAATCAGCTGACTCATAGTTACGGAGCCAGAGACCCTTAGAGAAGTGACAGCAAAGGCAGCTGTTAGGTGGCCTTTAAACTTTTCCTTTCACCTGACAATGCAGTCTAGTGAAGAAAAGTGTCCCCAAAATGGCTTACACACATAATACAGAGTGAAGTGAGGGAAAAAGAAATACTCATTTGCTCCCAACTGCTGTGAAACTCTTGTTACAAAATCTTAGAGTAAAAGGCTCAAAAGATAACTAGTTAAAAAACTGTTTCAAGGGGTGCCTGGGTGGCTCAGTCGGTTAAGCACCTGACTTCGGCTCAGGTCATGACCTCACGGCTGGTGGGTTCGAGCCCTGTGTCGGGCCCTGTGCTGACAGCTCAGAGCCTGGAGCCTGCTTCAGATTCTGTGTCTCCCTCTCTCTCAGAAATAAATTAAAAAACATTAAAAAAAAACTTTCAAAAACGGAGGCTAAGATGCCTCTATAGAGTTTATCTGGAAACTTCAGTGATAAGGTGACTTACCAATGGTGGGGTCGTGATCTTCTGGAAATCGGTGGCTGATGAACTGCATGGTCATGGCTTCAAAACAAGAAAGGAAAGTTACAATCCAGAGAAGTGGCCCACGGGAAGCACCGCAAGTGTCAACACCGCAGACCTGGTTTGGGTGGAGAAGAGCACTTTTCACCCCCCACTTCTGGTGAAGTGGAAGCCCAAGGGCACCTACCGCTTTTCCCCACGCCGCCGGCGCCCAGCATCACCAGCTTGTACTCCCGGGACAGGCCTGCCGGGCTGCCGCAGCCGCTGCCGGAGGGGCGCGGGCCCGGGTCCATGGCCCCTCGGGACGCGCACCTGGAGAACAAGAAGGACGCTCTGGACCTGGGCCGCACCCGGAGACCCGCCCCGGCGAGTGTCCCCGGCCCCGTCCACCCGCCCCGGATCCTGGCCTCCGGCCCCCTCCGCCGGCCCCCGGACCTAGCCCCCGCCCGCCCCACCGCCCGCAGCTCCCGGCCTTAGCCTCCGCCCCACCCCCCACCCCCCGCAGCTCCGGCCCTAGACCCCCCCCCCCACCGCCCGCAGCTCCCGGCCTTAGCCTCCGCCCCACCCCCCCACCACCCGCAGCCCCGGCCC